GCCTCGATAATCAAACCAGATCTCTCCGCAGGAATTGGGATGGATTGTTACGAGTTTAAGCTTTTTGTTTTCTTGTTTGTTTAAACCTGCATTCAGCAATATTCCAGCTGTATGATGGCGGTCTGTATATAATCAAGACTGGACAAGACAATCCAGTGGTTGACATCATGAGCATCAATCTACGCAATTGGGATACAATGACATGCATCAACCAAGTCGGCGAGTCTGACCACCTGATCCAGTCAGTCGCCACTTGCAACAACATGTTGCTGAAGACCAATTCTAACCCAGATCTTGACAGGGTGCTCCTGGTTGTAAAATGGTCCCCCAACGCATACTAGGACCTCGATTTTAATGCTGGGGACGACAAAACATTATTGCAGAATGCCCCCAAGACAGACAAATATATATAGACCAAGTAAATCTCTGTCTAAGGCCAAAATCTATATATTAGATTTTCATCTAAATCACTAAAAAATTTACACATTTTATCTTTATATTACATATGTCGTAGAACTGTTCAGTATCTGTGAACAATAACTGTCGATGGATGAGATTCACATGAAGCATGAATGTTTGGTATGACGACATATAATTAAAGTGTATTTTACCAAGGATGAAGGTGACACATGTAGCAATTGTCTTCATCAATAGAGTTGAATACTCCCCAGGGAGCTGAGAATGAATATTGAGTGCCCATTGATCCACTGACCGAGATATTAATTATGTAAAGCACCCGTGAGCAGCATAACTGAAACAAGGCGCTGTATTAATATTATCCACTGCCACAAAATGGGGCGGGGTATTTAGGAACAGAGTTCATCCGCCCGTCCATCCGCTGTGCACAGCACCAGGTGCCACCACAACAGGAATAAGAAAAGTACCAAAGAAACAAGCTCAACGTAACCATGGCAACAACTTGTAGTGGGAAGATACATTGATTTATCAGTGGATCGCAATTTATTACTTCTTGATACAAGTATCGATCACAGTACCTAAGTAAAAAATATTGATTCTACCTTAGATGTTTTCTTTAATAACTGTTAAACCAAACACTAATTAGCAGTGAAAGTTTTTTTAGTTGTTCAAACTAGTATGTAACCAAATAAACAGATGTGTAACCAAATAAACAGTTGTGGGAAAGAGCCTTCCAACATTAATGTAAAATACTGAAACACATTTTTTGACTACCGTTGAACTTTGAAAATTTAAAAAAAAAAATTTAATTTTTAAAAATGGAAATAAAAATAAAATTTGCGTGAAACTTTATGATGAGGACAGTGCCTGAGAACCAAGACTACTATTTTTTTTAGCCTTATGTACCATGTTTTAGAGCTTATGCAAGCATCGTTATACGTATCGGATCGTGAGCAAGATATCATGGGTATGTATCAGACCGCACAGTTGGTTTATCATCCCAGCCCTGCAACATCTTCCTATCATATCAATATATTTGCCTGTGTTTGTACAAGAAAACACAATGAGAAGGGTCAAAATCAAAGAAATATATCACCAGTGAACGTCATGAAGATTTGTTGAATTGAGCCATGTATACAACATACATAACATCAACCCCATCAGCATGATCTCAGTTATCTGATAATCTGATTTCATGCTCAGACTCACTCAACAGAGGAGAAGTCTGGAGTACAGAATAACACAGTATTGACCAGAATGTGAGATCCCCTGTGCAAGCAGCACATATGGTGAGTGCTTAGCAGTTCATCTTATAATACCATCACCACTGAACCTGTTCACATACAAATGTTATAATACCAATCAACTCTGAGTGAGTTGGGTTTAATGCCGCTTTTTAACATTATTCCAGTCATATCACGGCGTGTCAGCTTGATGTGGGAGGAAAACCCGAAGTGATGCAGGTCTCAGACGTTTACGTCGGTTAAACCCGGGTATGGTGCTGACAAACCTAGAAACATAATCAGGGCAAACCGGGATTTGAACCAACATTTCTGGCGTGCCCAAGGGATGCAACTCTGCACAGCGAATCGTGGCGCCTTAGACCACTGGGCCACCCGTGACCCCCAATCAACTCTGAACTTATACCTACGTGTTATACAATATCACAGTATATCGTGGGTGTATATCATTATCATGTGTGTTTATATATCAGTGTTCCGCTTGCTTTTGAAACTGCCAGTCAAAAAAGCAAAACAGGACTGACAACACTGAAAATTACCAGTCGCCACTGTTTATTGTCAGTTCTTACTTTCAACAAATAAAAAACGTTTGAAGATTACCTGCTATTAATTCTTTCAACATCATGTTCAATGCAATGACGTCATCTCTGAAGTAACATAGTTGGAACTACACATCATTCACACAAAGTTCAGTCACAATTTTCTCTTGCACTTCTGCACTATAAATAGACAAGGGGAAGCCCTCATTATAACAGACAAGCTGGCTTTGTTCGAAAAATATACCTATATGAAGTAAGTAAGTGAGCTGGGTTTAATGCCACTTTTAACAGTATACCAGTTATATCACGGCGTGTCAGCTTAATGTGGGAGGAAAGCCCGAAGTGATGCAGGTCTCAGACGTTTACCACTTCGGTGAAACCCACGAGCACGGGTATGGTGCTGACAAACCTAGAAACATAATCGGGGCGAACCGGGATTCGAACCCATAATTATAGGTTTCTGGCGTGCCAAGGGACGCAAATCTGCACAGCGAATCGCAGTGCCTTAGACGACTGGGCCACCCATGCCCCGTATTTTTAAGTAGTTTCGAAAGTTTAATACTTCAGTGAGAGAAAAATACTTCAACCACTAAGCTACCTCACCACCCCTTGTTTAGCCTAGTATGCTCAACTAGTAGTAGTCATACAATAACACGGACATCATTTTAAAGTGTTGCTAAGGGCCATCTTCAGGATAGCAGACTCAAACATCTTGGCACAGACTGGTAACTGTTTTCGTGACATAGGCTCACATTAACAATGTTAAAGTCAGCAAACAATAAACAATTTGATTATGCATCTTATAATATGCAACAGATAACAACCAGAATTATAAGCACATTTCATTCTTCAGCAATGGTCATCATATCACCAAACACAAACACAAGTAAAAGAAAACTTTGTAACCATGGTAACAGAGTGTAAACATTGGGAAACTTGGAAAACAACCTTGACAAGGTATCCAGTAGTTTGAGATATGTCATTGTTTTGTTTGTTTGTTTGTTTTTTAATGCAGCACTCAACAATATTCCAGCTACATGATGGCAACCGGATCTGGACCAGACAATCCAGCTATTGACATCATGAACATCGATCTACGCAATTGGGATACAATGACATACATCAAGCAAGTCAGAGTGAGTGAATGAGTGAGTTTGGTTTTACGCCGCTTTTACCAATATTCCAGCAATATCACGGCGGGGGACACCAGAAATGGGCTTCACACAATGTACCCATGTCGGGATTCGAACCCGGGTCTTCGGCGTGACGAGCGAACGCTTTAACCACTAGGCTACCCGACCGCCCAGCAAATTCAGAGAGCCTGACCACCTGATGCCATTAGATGCCTCTTACGATAAGCATGGATTGCTGAAGGCCAATTCTAGATTGGATCTTCATGGAGAAGACATGTGATTCACTAGATTGAGTGAATGAATGTTGTTTTATGCTGATGTGTGTACTTTTCCAGCCACATCTACTAAAATGGTGACATATATGATTGAGTCTGAATCAGGCAAACTAGTGATTGATACCTGTGGTGAGTTGAGACTGTACAAGACAAACCAATGGTCAATAACATGAACATCATCTAATCCTTTGTTAACTTTGTGCTACATCTGCCACTTCACATCATAACTACCCATTGCCTTTCCTATATAGTAGGTAGCTTTGCATACAGTGTGTGAGTGAGTTTGGTTTTACGCCGCTTTTAGCAATATTCCAGCAATATCACGGCGGGGGACATCAGAAATGGGCTTCACACATTGTACCCATGTCGGGAATCGAACCCGGGTTTTCGGCGTGATAAGCGAACGCTTTAACCACTAGGCTACCCGACTGCCCCCTTTGCTTACAGCATTGTAGGATTACAATTTCTGGCCTAAATTCTTCCTTGTAATCACCACCTTGTGAGGCTCATAGCCTGGGCCACCGTGATTCATGAGTGTAGGCTGATCAAGACAAATCTGGACAATTTTAAAAGCATCTTACATGTCTTAAGTGCCGATAGAAATCATGTCCCGATTTTAAGTAGCTGTGGTAAAAAAAACTGTATATCTGTGCTGCTCCTTAGAAACGATTTGGTTATCGATTTGTCGTAATACACCCCAGACGGCTTAGTGTTTAGTGTTTTTAAAATACTGCCCTGATCCAAATTTGCATTGCACTTTATATGCTTCAGCAAACTTTATACGTAATGCTCTAAAAAGGCAATGCAATTTGATTCACTTCCTAAGACACTTGCCTTCAATTACAAGTACGTATATTTTAGACAGTGCAATAATATATTTACTTATCAAGTTTGTGACTGGTCTGGGAAAGATCCACACCCTCTCTATGATTCCAACAGAATCAAATCAAATGTTGCTTGATAAAAAAAACAAGTACACATATTTGAAGGCAAGTGTTTTAGGAAGCGAATCTTACTGCAGTTTTTGTTGGATTATGATTCATGTATATTACGGGTGGGTTGTTATGGTGGTATGGTCCGAATAAGGAATTTATCATAAAAACTCTATTGAACAGCCAATAGATCTCTGTGTAGCGATAAGTCAAAACAAAAATCTTTTATAGGGAGCAGAACAGAGAAATTGTGACCACTCTATATTTAATTTTTAACCACCTTACGATATATTGCCTTTGACGAGTTCTGTTCTATAGCCACCTTTGAGTGTATCAAAAGTATGTGATGGTTTGTTTTGATGTGTGTACGTGGGCAGGTCTGTGGCACTTTTCTTTTAAATATGTTTTATTATTTCCGCAACATATCTAGGCATACAACCATTATAAATGGGAGTTTGTTTACCTCAACTGTGTGTTCTTCAAGACGCTTATCGTTTCCTTTTCCATTGGAATTCCCTCCCCCTGAAGCCATTTTGTATTCAGAATTGGATCTAATTAAACTTTCATGTATTTCTGTGTTGTGTTATCCTGGCGTCTTAACGCGCAATCAGGATAGATGCAATTTCCAGACTTCGTCAGGACATCTCATACTTCTACACAAACATTCCCTCGATCAACATTCAACAACCTGATGCAGTACAGAGAGCTGTCAAATTCAAGGAATTTGATTGGTCGATAAAACTTGTTTGACACATTCATGAAGTTCTGTCAACATGGGAAAGTAATATCATATGATTAAATGAAGGGATTATTTACAAAACAGTATTTTGTAAAAGAAGCATTTTATCATGTTGAATATAAATCCATTCCATTTGTAGATAACTATTCAGTTCGGAACAATAAACCGGAAGTACGCGCCACAAGTTAAAAGTGCCCTGTTGTATAATGTCAAAATCGAATGGTGTACTTGATAACATTTCGTAATTATGAAGTTTGTAGTATATACTACATTTTAATTATTACAACCAGTACTCTCTGTAGTGTCAAAGAAATTTTCAGTATTGGAGTGTTACGTTGAAAACCGAGTACTAGTGCACATTTGCTGTAGCCATTTTCCATGGGTAGCTAATGATGACATTACACCGGACGTAATAAAGGCATGAATGGAAAGTACATGGTGTGGACTGTGTTTGGCTAGGAATGTTTACAGACATCAAGCTCAGGTGACCTTCAGGAGATTCGCCGCTAGGATGTCAGGGGACTTCACGGATAATAAAAACAAGTTTTATCGAGTTGTTTTGACCGGTGGTATGTATAAGCTTTATTCACGATCAATGTCTTTTTTATCTATTGGTTATAGGCTAATGGACATATGAACATCTTCAGCCGTGTGATGTTATAGGTTACGCATGGTATACTAAGCTTAGCGGGAACCTATTTACGTCGCGACCACGTGTTTTCAATCTTACGCATACACAGCACTGATGATGAAATAAGACGCCCGGAGCGCCGCGCGAGCCTGGCAACCGTGGACTGCGTGATAGCCTATTTACTGTTAATTCGTGAATTTAACTAGGCCTATTTCATAGGCATTGTGTCGGATTTTGTGTTCGAAAATGGCTACTCACTGACAGCGATATATTAAATATAAAATATATGAACTTGATATTGTTTTTAATAAATCCATGTTTTAGAAAAATGATATGATTTTTAATCAGGGTAATCTTAATCATCTTAAAGGGGCACTGATCTAACGCAATTCCCCGGGACTGGTTGTTGCCTTTGTTATTGTTTTTTCCCAGTGAGTACCCGGATGTATAGCAGAAATCTAGACTAGTTCGCGACCTCTGCTGCGCCATTCGTAAGCGCATTTGTCACTTGTATGGGTAGTAATAAGGGCGTATGGTCACATTGATCAACAAAATGAAATACAGTTTTCACTGTATGGATACTTTTTTTAGTATTAAACTATGACCATCTGGGGTATTTCCAAATGACGACATCCGATGAGCTCCGCCGTTCTTTTTGTCTGTTTGTTTAGGTTGAAGAAATTAATTAACATGCGCCCTTTGTCGAAATCTTTGTAGATCACGGTTAACCAATCAGTGTTTATGCAAAAATGTGTAAAACAAATATTGCCTCCAGCCTCCAAGTTTATTTAGCTGTCCTTGCAGACGGTAGCCCAGTCTCTGGTCACGCTCAGTTGCGTTGCGTATCATCCGGGTACTCACGGGGAAAAAACAAAAACAAAGGCAACAACCAGTCCGGGGAATTGCGTTAGATCAGTGCCCCTTTAATGTTATCAACAAATCGGAATCTGTATCCTAGCTGGTATAGATCTAGATCTATATGGTAGATCTACATCTGTGACTCTACATGTTCAATATAGCCAGAACGTAATTTTGTTACCAAGTGAGTAAACATTGTTAAATGATGCAGTCAAATATATCTCAGCTGTATCACATTTGCCTGTAGGCTACATGTTGTTTGGCCACACTTTTTATATAGAATGTTTTGCTTTAATGATGTTTGTTTTTTTATATAAGTGGTTCCATGTATTATTGCATTGTTCACACAAAATTGGCAAATTATCCAAATGTTTGCTTAAGCATATATTTTGACTGAGTATGGAGAATTCTGAAATATTACTTGCAGTTGCTTGGGAATACTCTCAGTTCCAAAATGTTAGCTGCTCATACTATCCAACCACTCGTTTTCTTTGCCCAGTTTATTTGACATTACAGTCTGTCAGTGGACAATCAGCAGTGTTAGAAATTGGCACTAGTCCTATAGTCAGAGCTCCAGATAAGGTTTTGGTGTTGTGGGTATTTTACCCATGCATTTAAAAATCATTGGGTATCAGTAATTCTATCTGGGTATTCAAATTTCTGTTACCCACTAGTTTTTACACATGTGGGTATTTAAGTTAAATATTTAAAAACACTATTCATAATGTTCATCTCGGCCCTGCAAACTGGTTTAGTGTGGGTTCGAGAGCTTTATAGGACTTTATATAGCTTTATAACACCACGATACTTCCACAAGAAAGTGTGATGGCACAAGGTTTATTTTTGTAGCGTATCTGTAATTTTCGTTGCGTATTTGATACGCTTGGATTTTATTTTACTGCATATTTCTGAATTTCTGATGCATATTTTACGCAGATGCGCAGCTTATCTGGAGCTCTGTATAGTCCTTGCCAAAATGCCCAATAGTTAATGTATCATAAGGACTCATAGAAATTTGTCATTTTTGAGGGTTTTGCTATATGTTATCATTATCATGATTATAAGGACTAGAGGACAAAAACTGTTAGTTTCTATTGCTGCAATCACTCTTACCTAAAACAAAATTACCCTGCCATCATGATATTGAACTGCATGTTTTTATCTTGGCAGAATATATAAAGCATTAATTGATTCTTTATCATGTTTGTCGTATTTATTTTGCATATCTATTCTCTGTGCATTGACCATGTTTATTCACATTGAATAATTTATATGTCATGCTAATGTGGGTCTCCAGATTTTTGTCATTTTCTGGTCCCCCTCCCCCCCCTTCCAAGGGGACGGGAGACGTAAATATTGATATTGGCTCAATGCCAACAGTTTCAACAAACTTCACTGGTGCCTTTTGCTATTTTGAAATTTGTATGAATTTTATTTTGTTACATTTCCATGGAACGATTTGGACATAGTCTCAATCAATTCTAGGCTTTGTTTCCGAGCCATAACTCTCAATCCAATGAATATGTTAGCATGAAATTATACCTGTACCAGACCATATGCTCAACTATTGCCCTTTCGTATTTTTCAATTTTCAATGTTTTAGGTTGTTGTGTTTCCAAGAAACAATTTGGACAGTCTAAAACAAGTAGTGTGTGTTTCCAGCCCAAACTCTACATTTAATGAATATTTCTGCATGAAACCATTATCTTTCTCCACCCAATTTGTTGTTATTGTTTTTTTTTTATTTGCAAACACGTTTACGGTTACAACTTGAACTAATTATCCCCCCAAAAAGTGAGTGGAGACATATATTTTCTAATAAAAACACATTCTAGTTTTATTTATTTTTGTTCAAAATAGGGATTTTACTTACATTCTGACTTTTTTTTCAAATTCAGAGGTATTTTCACAAGTATTTTGAGATTGCGTTCAATACAATAATATAATAAGTGGTCCAGTCATCTAAGGCGCAATGATTTGCTGTTCAGAGTTTCGTCCCTTGGGCATGCCAGAAACCTATGATTGTGGGTTCGAATCCTGGTTTGCCCCAATTACGTTTCTAGGTTTGTCAGCACCATACCCGTGCTCGTGAGTTTCACTGAAGTGGTAAACGTCTGAGACCTGCATCACGTTGGGCTTTCCTCCCACATTAAGCTGACATGCCGTGATATAACTGGAATACTATTAAAAGCGGCGTTAAACAAACTCACTCACTCACTCACTCACTCACTCACTCACTCACTCACTCACTGGTCTTGTTATCAGTGAAATATAGGTTGCGTCTACAAAGCTATACTATACTATATTAACAATTTAACATGAATTGGGAATAGTTTTTATTCCAATGTAAGAATATTTACTGACATTTGCTGCAGACTTGGGGTTGAATTTTGGCCTCTGTTGAGGTCTATATAAATCCTTGACATATTTATTTTCTCTTTGCATAAACATATATACAGCTGCTAGTGGTGTAAAGCTTGCCTCATTCTCTCTGTTGCAGGCCCCTGTGGAGGGAAGACGACAGGGCAGGCCAGGCTCAGTACATTCTTTGAAAACCTAGGATGGAAGGTGCAGTGTTTGTTGTGATGTGGCTTTACAGAGCCTCCGATATGGCTTTACAGAGCCTCCGATATGGCTTTACAGAGCCTCCAATATGGCTTTACAGAGCCTCTGATATGGCTTTACAGAGCCAAATACCTTGTACCTTGAATTTTATTGATTTATACTGAAAATAATGGAATAATACTCTCACTCACTCACTCACTCACTCACTCACTCACTCACTCACTCACTCACTCACTCACTCACTCATTCTCTCACCCACCCATGGGGAATTGGCCCAGTCGTCAAAAGCGCCGCAATTCGCTGTGCAGAGTTGCGTCCCTTGGGCATGCCAGAAACCTATGATTGTGGGTTCGAATCCCGGTTCGCCCCGATTATGTTTCTAGGTTTGTCAGCACCATACCCGTGCTCGTGGGTTTCACCGAAGTGGTAAACGTCTGAGACCTGCATCACTTCGGGCTTTCACTCACCATGTGGGGAATATCACCCATTATCCAAACCTATGCTGGTTGTAAGGGGTGACTTATATAAATTGGTTGTCAGGAATATTGCTGATTGCAGTGTTAAACAACAAACAAACATTTATTATCATCCAACATCAGGAATAAGTTGTTTGTTGTTTAACGCCGCACACAGCAATATTCCAGTATATGACGGCAGTCTGTCCCTAATCAAGTCTGGACCAGACAATCCAGTGATTGACATCATGAGCATCAATCTACACAATTGGGATACAATGACATGCATCAACCAAGTCAGCGAGCCTGACCACCTGATCCCGTTAGTCGCCTCTTACGAAAAGCATAGTCGCCTTGTACGGCAAACATGGTTTGCTGAAGACCTATTCTACCCCGGATCTTCACAGGTCTAATCAGAATTAACTAGGATGTAGAGCTTTATTTTATTGAGTTGACACAAGCCATCATTGTCAATTTGTGAAATTGTAGACTTTGGTATAATGTGGAATAATTACGATGGCTGAGTCTATATTTGTTTTATGTGGTGTAAGTGCAGACTGTATGTGCACCAGCTGCTGTTCTGCCAGAAAGAAATCAAGCTATTAACATGATAAAGTTACCATGGTTACATGTTTTTGCATGATAGAGGAATGAGTTACTCATTGAAGTAAGGTATAATGGCATTTATTATATACTTCAGCGTGAAAGACTGATTTTTCTGAAGTTGAGAAAAGTGATAATTTCATAGCAGTGAACATAACACTTGATATTACACTGCAGTGAACATAACACTTTTACGGAACTATTGTCATACAAGAGTTACTTCACCTTTAATTGTCTCCCTTTGTCGTAAGTGACAAGCCCATGCACAAACTGTTGACATTCTTTTTACGTTATTGACAGGGACAGCATTGACAGGGAAAATATTGACGGATGGTCATTTATGGAATTAATATCACTTCTAGCCGTTTATTCTTCTCTCAAAAGTGTTTCTTTATAAACTGTAAATCTCACATTTAACTCATCAATCGAGACTTTTAGCTTCGCAAAGCGCCATTTTTGTTACTTGACCAGCGTGTATTCTTTCACTTCTCTCAGCGGACTCCTAGTATTCAAGAATATTTTTTGTTAAAGTTGATTTTGTATGTAATCATATCGAAATGTATGATAAAGAATTATGGTGACCCTAAATATTTTTTGATAGTTTTGTTTATATTTCTTATGATTTTGCAAACACGAAACTACTTTTTAAGTCACAAATACAACCGTCCCAGTGTGTCAGGTAGGGAGAATATACGTTTCAAGGTTTTACATTTGTATTGATCTAGTTTAATTTTCAGGTAGACAACTGCACAAAAAGTATACAATAAATAGGATATTCCTTGTGTCCAGTGAAATATGCCACTCATGAAAATATCTCCTTCCTACATTGTAGATATCACTGCAATCATGGCAATGAAATTGCATCACGATGCTTTGCAATGTTTTTTCAAACTAAGGTTTGCTGGCACAACTTCTAAATTGAGGACTCGATCAAATACATCATCAATGTCTAAGGCTTTGTCTGGGATCTTTCGGAGCTTCTCCCATTGACAGTCTATACATTGAGGCTGAAGAACCATCACTTAAACCAAGCTGTATTAAACTTCACAGTATATGACAAAGTCACATTCCACTGTGTTCAACCCTGCATAGGGCGGTCGGGTAGCCTAGTGGTTAAAGCGTTCGCTCGTCACGCTGAAGACCCGGGTACGATTCCCGACATGGGTACAATGTGTGAAGCCCATTTGTGGTGTCCCCCGCCGTGATATTGCTGGAATATTGCTAAAAGCGGCGTAAAACAATACTCACTCACTCACTCAACCCTGCATACAGCTGTGTGTTTAATCCCCTTTATGAGTATCTGAATATTAGATAGATTTTATTTTATCTTGGAATAAGAATTAAACCTTTTATTTCTGCTGCTAACATTGATCTTGAAACTATATCCCCTTTCCAGTTGCTGTCTTCTCCTCCTTGGCAATTGGTAAAGCCAAAAGTAGACCTGTCATTGACCAACTAAAGAAATCGGAAACAAATCAATTACAGTACCAACAAGAATATAATCAGTTAAATACGTACGATACTTATAAATCAATATTTACAGATGGATCCAAGGATGGTGATGCTGTTGCCAGCGCCACTGTCTTTTGATCCCAAACTATATCAACTAGATTAGTCTGTCTTACAGACCCTGATACAAATATATATCAAATACAGCCCATGCAAGTCTATAATGTTTGGCAAGTCTAGATCACTGCAGTATCAGTATATCTGAAAATGAAGGGAGTCACTGGGCTACTTTTTATTATATTTTTATTAAGATAACTGAACAACTGTTTTTTATGTACGATATGTTCATTTCAGAGACTAGATGTTAGTCTACAACTAGATTACCAGATGACTCTTCCATTTTTACAGCCGAATCAAAGGCCATTTTAACAGCTCTAGAATATATCCAACAGTCTAACATCAGCAATTCATTATTTGTTCAGACTCTCTGTCCTTTCTTAAGTCAATTAAAAATAATTCGTGTCAGCATCCAGTTTTACTCGACATCATTGAATTACATAATATCCTTGCTACAGGCTAATATGACATAATCTTTTGCTGGTAACCCAGCCATGTTGGAATCGTTGGTAACACAATGGCAGATGCTGCAGCTAAAGCAGCTAAAGCAAATCTGTGACATCACTTCTAATTCCATACAGCGATTATAAACCTGTGATCAGATGTTGCATCCGAGACCTGATGCAATAGAAGTGGGACACCCAAGTAGGTATAAATAAATTACATCAAATTAAACCAATTATCGGTTACACCTACTTGGGTTGTCAGTCAAAATTTGAACAGATGTCATAATATGGCGATGTCGTATTGGCCACTGCAGATACACTCATGAATATTTAATTGAAAGGTGAAGATCCACCATCTTGTATCCCTTGTGATGAGAGAATCACGGTCAAGCATGTCCTGCTTGACTATGTTGATTTTGCCTAAACAAAGGTTAAATATTTGAAATCATCATCTGTCAAGGATCTTTTTAATTGTATTAATTCCCATTTATTTATTTTTTATATTTTTAAATTTTTTTAAAAAGAAATAGAATTTGTAAAATTAATTTTGAAACATATGTTTTGTAATTAATAAATGATCTTTTTAGACTGGTAGAAGGAAATTAGTTAACTGAGATTGTTAATGGATGTACCCTTGATGGGGGTTGAAGTAGTGTAAAATGATTGTCCCCCAGAGAGGGTATGTAAGACCACGTCCTTCGAAGAAATTTTTCTCTGCCACATTTTTAATCGTAGAATATGTTCATTTAAATTTGGCTAAATTTGACAATCATTGCCAACACCTGAAGGGATGATGTCAATCTTGCTGGGTTCCATGCAGGTAGAAAAGGTACTGTAAGTCCCCATGGACCCTAGTATGGTGATCTACCTTCAGTTTCTGGCAATCTGTAGCCCTTTTTTATTATGTATTGTTACATATAGTGATATCTTTTTATGGTTGTATGCTAGTTTTAAATATTAATCTAGCTATTTTATCATGTTTATTGTGCATCATTTTAATCTAAATACATGTATTCTTAACGTATAACTTCTCATCACGATATGGCTGAAATATTGCCGATGTGACGTTAAATATTAACTCACTCACTCACTCCAAATTGAGGGGTTGTCGGATCAGTTAACAGGCAATATTACATTGTATTGTATTTATTAATATGGAAAATATAGGGTTAGCATCGTCAAAGTAGGGTGTTTTGATTAACATATTTGATTAAACAGACCTGTGAAGATCCGGGTTAGAATAGGTCTTCAGAAACCCACGCTTGTCGTAAGAGGCAACTAAGGGAATCGGGGGGTCAGACTCGCCAACTTGGTTGATGCATGTCATCGTATCCCAATTGCATGGATTGATGCTCATGATGTCAATCACTGGATTGTCTGGTCCAGACTTGACTATTTATAGACTACTATCATCATATAGCTGGAATATTGCTGAATGCGGCGTTAAACTAAAAAAACACAAAAAAACACATTTGATTTAATGGGTTAGTGGACCTATACATGAAGTACAGGACCCGTGAAGATCCGGGGTTGAATAGGTCTTCAGCAACCCATGCTTGCTGTAAAAAGCGACTAATGGAATCGGGTGGTCAGGCTTGCTGACTTGGTTGATGCATGTCATTGATCCCAGTTGCGTGGATCGATCCTCATGATGTCAATCACTGGGTTGTCTGGCCCAGAATTGATTATTTACAGACCGCCGTCATATAGCTGGAATGTTGCTGAATGCGGCGTTAAACAACAAACAAACAAACATACAACAATGTACAGATGAAGATACCAAGAATACACAGTCCGCTCAAATAAACAATGATAAAAGAAACGTAAAATACATTTAAAAAAAACAAAAAAACGCATTTGTGCAGATAGTAGTACCTGGATACCTGCAGTATATAAATGTATAATATAATAATAATAATAACATAACACAGGGATTTATCTGGGATTCCTTTGACATTGCGTATTAATTGCATTCAATAATGTAAACTAAGCATTTAGTGAGTGAGTATGGTTTTACGCCGCTTTTAGCAATATTCCAGCAATATCACGGCGGGGGACACCAGAAATGGGCTTCACACATTGTACCCATGCCGGGAATCGAACCCGGGTCTTCGGCGTGACGAGCAAACGCTTTAACCACTAGGCTACCCGACCGCCCCACTAAGCATTTAAGTCTCTTCCTCTTTATAATGTTTTTTGGTGGCAGTTGGTTAGCCTAGTGGTTAAAGTGTTGACACTCACTCACTCACTCACTCACTCACTCACTCACTCACTCACTCACTCACTCACTCACTCACTCAAATATTTACAGGCTGCCATCATATTGTTGGAATTCTGCTGACACAGCATTTTAACATTTTGACAATATTTGATAATGGTCATCGTCCATCCTCTTTGTAATAGACCACCTCCGTGGTCTAGTGGTAGAGCTTACGCCCAGAGAGCGGAAGGTCCAGGGTTCGATCTCCGGCCGTGTCATACCAAAAGACATTAAAAGATGGTACTTGTTGTTACCCTGTGTGGGGCTCGGCATTAAGGGGCTAAAACAAGAACTGGTCGGCTCGGAGTCAGTTTACTGTGTCTGAGTGGGGTATTCATGTTAAACTGCGGCATGGTATCTCAGTGGGCTAGCACTGTAAATCGGCATCAGTCCGGACTAGTACAAGCAGCCACACACACACACACACACATGCATGCACGTCGCTATATAAGTGCAATAATCTTGGACGCGACGCTAAACCCCATTTCACCTCACCTCCTCTTTGTAACTAGTGCTTCTGTCATCAGGTCGAAGTGTTATTACAATATCTGTCATCAGTATGTGAAATCGCGACAATTGTTAACAGATAGAATTTATGGTCTCTGGTGTCATGGGAAATAATTAGGGTGGCTGATTCCGTTCATGTATTGGTTGCTTGGGATGAATAGGTACCAGCTGTTGTGAGAATAGTGTTGATGTAAATCTGAAGTTACAGGAATAATTAGTGGAATAATGAGTAGAAATACTATTAAACTCAGCACATTCATTGTAAAAAGCAATCATAAGAATCATCTATATATCATGTTCATGGTAAATTCAAAGGATCTGTTGTTTGCTTTGTAAGCAAAACATGCAGGAAAAAACAAAGGACCTGAACTTAGTATTGGGCAAGTGCCAGAGTCGTTTAGTATTGGAATGACTGTATGCCAATCCACAGGAGTCTGTATCTAAAAATAGACGCCATCATGCATATTCATGACCCTTCGGGCTCGCGTGTGGAGATGGTCATGAATATGCATGAGGGCGTCTATTTTTAGATACAGACTCCTGTGGCCAATCTCATCCACCAGCTCCCTAATGTGTGTGTGTGTGTGTTGCATATACCCCTGTAGTCATAGAAGTCCTGTCCCTAGAATACTGGACCATTACTACTTTATATCACACGTTATATTTGGGATAACACTTTCTGAGTAAAGTACAGATTCTCGTACTTTTCAGGGGTTGAGTCCTGTCCGGGAGTGTGGGTTTGAATCCCGGACGGGATTCAACCCAAAAATATATGAGAATCTGTACTTTAGTCAGAAAGTGTTATCCAAAATAAAACATTTGTTACATTTGACCACTTTCTAAATGGCATGGTGTGTGCACATTACTACTTAAGTAATATTTTTCTTTGGCCCTTCCTACGACCTCCCTATTTTGTCCTGTGCCCCTATAGTAATATGGGTTATAGCTGAAACTGCACCTCAGCAAAACGGCACTTCGTCTAAAGCGAAATTGTCTCCTTATATTTTATTACCTTGGTACTGAAATACATGAAATAAAACTCACATGGTCACTTGCAAACACAAATAATTGTCCATGACCTCCCAGTGTTGACCTGTGACCCTGTAGAAGTGCTAACCTTGTCCACGACCTCCCTGTGTTGACCTGTAGAAGTACAAGTCCTGGCCATGACCTCCCTGTGTTGACCTGTGACCCTGTAGAAGTGCTAACCTTGTCCACGACCTCCCTGTGTTGACCTGTAGAAGTACAAGTCCTGGCCATGACCTCCCTGTGTTGACCTGTGACACTGTAGAAGTACTTACCTTGTCCATGACCTCCCTGTGTTGACCTGTGACCCTGTAGAAGTACTAGTCCTGGCCATGACCTCCCTGTGTTGACCTGTGACACTGTAGAAGTACTAACCTTGTCTACGAGCTCCCTGTGTTGACCTGTGACACTGTAGAAGTACAAGTCCTGTCCATGACCTCCCTGTGTTGACCTGTGACCCTGTAGAAGTACTAGTCCTGGCCATGACCTCCCTGTGTTGACCTGTGACCCTGTAGAAGTACTAACCTTGTCCATGACCTCCCTGTGTTGACCTGTGACCCTGTAGAAGTACAAGCCCTGATCATGACCTCCCCTAGTTGACCTGTGACCCTGTAGAAGTACTAGTCCTGTCCATGACCTCCCTGTGTTGACCTGTAACCCTGTAGAAGTACTAACCTTGTCCATGACCTCCCTGTGTTGACCTGTGACCCTGTAGAAGTACTAACCTTGTCCACGACCTCCCTGTGTTGACCTGTGACACTGTAGAAGTACTAACCTTGTCCATGACCTCCCTGTGTTGACCTGTGACCCTGTAGAAGTACTAACCTTGTCCATGACCTCCCTGTGTTGACCTGTGACCCTGTAGAAGTACTAATTTTGTCCATGACCTCCCTGTGTTGACCTGTGACACTGTAGAAGTACTAACCTTGTCCATGACCTCCCTGTGTTGACCTGTGACCCTGTAGAAGTACTAACCTTGTCCATGACCTCCCTGTGTTGACCTGTGACCCTGTAGAAGTACAAGCCCTGATCATGACCTCCCCGTGTTGACCTGTGATTCTGATTCAATACAATCCTGTGTCAGGTAATGTTTCTTTTTGTTCAGGTTTTCCGGTGTCCGGAAGCTGCAATGATCTTCTTGAGGTAAGTCCTTCATATCAGGCCAGGAAGATACTACTGTCTATTCCTCAGATTCAGGCAGGAGTTGAACACTCACAGTTTCGGTTCACACATTTAAATTCTTTTGGTGGAAGTTATGGCTCTGAATGGTTGGATAGGTTTTCGACAACGTTGTTATGTCACAACATTGGGCGGATTCTGAGGATGTGTGAGGGCATGGGTGGCCCAGACGTTTAATTCGCCACAGTTTGTCTCGCAGAGTTGCATCCTTTGAGCACATCAGAAACCGTTGATCGCGGGTTCAAATTCCGGTTCACGTCGATTATTTTTCAAGGTTTGTGCTTGTGGGTTCACCAAAGTGTGAGACCTTCATCACTTGGGCTTTCCTCCCACATTAGGCTGACATGCCATGATATAACTGGAATACTGTTAAAAGTGGCGTTAAACCCAACTGACGAGACTATCCTGACATAACACAAATACAAAGTCCATCATGTTAAGTGAAACAGATTCCATATTTTATGTCATGATAAACATGACCATATTGGTGTCTCCCTCACCCAGCATTGTTATTTGAGCAAAGTGATTCTTGAGGGAGAAGTATTATTTTCTGGCTTGTCAGCAGTTGTGGGGTAGCCTAGTGGTTAAAGTGTTTGTCTATCATGCCAAACCAAACAACCGGGATCGATTCCCACATGGGTACAAAAATTGAAGCCCATTTCTACTATCCCCTGCCATGATATTGCTGGAATATTGCAAAATGCAGTGTAAAACCAAACTCACTCACTCACTCTCCCGTGTATGGTTCCTACAGAAACTGGGCGGTCGGGTAGCCTAGTGGTTAAAGCGTTCGCTTGTCACGCTGAAGACCCGGGTTCGATTCCCGACATTGGTTCAATGTGTGAAACCCATTTCTGGCATCCCCTGCCGTGATATTGCTGGAATATTGCTAAAAGCGGCGTAAAACCAAACTCACTCACTCACTCTCCCGTGTATGGTTCCTACAGAAACTGAGCGGTCGGGTAGCCTATTGGTTAAAGCGTTCGCTCGTCACACTGAAGACCCGGGTTCGATTCCCGACATGGGTTCAATGTGTGAAGCCCATTTGTGGTGTCCGCCGCCGTGATATTGCTGGAATATTGCTAAAAGCGGCGTTAAACCAAACTCACTCACTCACTCCTACAGAAACTAATACAGAGCCAACATATGGTGTGATTTTGGCAATTGGTAGGGCTGGGACAAGTCCAAATTTACTACCCGGGTACCAACCTCCCTATTACACGACCCTATCTGGGTACCTGCTGTAGGTCTCAAGAGGTAGGTACAAACTGTCCAATTGGGAAAAGTTTGACCGTAGCTCTGGTAAAATGTGTTTAGATACACGTATGAAACGATCTGGTGTATACACTGAAGTTGACTGAAGTTTTATTTTTATTCAAACATATATAAGTCAGAAGGAATGGGCGTAGTAGTCAGGAAGAAATGAGTGACTTGTAGTTTAAACGTGTAGTTTAGGATATTTTTTGTCATTTAACAATATATCATGTGACTAACCACGGGTCCGGGTAGTCGTGTGGGTACCCGGGTCCTACTCAGTACCCACCCGACCCGAGTACCTGAGTTACCCCCAGCCCTAGCATGTGGATTCATCATGTTACCAGGATAGCACTGAGTTTAACAGTAATAACACCAAGGCAATCCTAAAAAAGTGCTGATGCATACTTGTGAATTTGGTTTTTTTCAGTGGTGGCGTGACATTTCCAGAGCTGCAGAATGATGAAAGTAAGTGATCTTATTATACCCCCGCCCTAAAAGGATGGGGGTAAATAGTTATACCAAAGAATTCCTTCCATCCTTCGAAGGTCATTTTGTGCGACCTTTAACTTGAAAACTTCCGCATAGATTCTTTTAAAATTTAGCAAACAGTTTTCATGCTAAGAGGTGCAGTGCAAAGTTTGATTTTGATATGGGATTTTCTGAGAAAGTATGAAAGTATGAAAGTATGAATTTTCAAACATTTATGTGGCCTATAACTTGAGAACTACTACATGGATTCCTTTCAAAATTAAGGAACACTTTCTATACTAAGAGAAGAAGTTCAGTGCAAAGATTGATTTTGATATGTGGAGACTGATTTATTTTTACCTTAATTTTTTGCAGTGTTCCTGGTTACTTGTAATTAATTTTTTTGCCAATCTAATAAGGCATGGACCAGTAATTCATGTGACTGTCAGTCCCTTATAAATATTTGTTGCTGAACGAAAGATCGGCTATAACAAAGTAATTTTTAGTGTTTTGCTTCAGTGTTGAGTTTCATACATTTTTTCATTTGTTCAAAGTTGGGATTGACAAAATTTGGCAGGGAACTGGTAATTGCAAGTTGCCAGTCCACTGGCAAATTATGAATCTCAGGCTTCCAGGTCGACCTGGGCAATAATGGCCCGTATTTACCAGTCTGTATTTACCAGTCTGTATTTACCATCCTGTATTGCGGTGCTTCAGTCTTCAAGCTGCAGGAGAACATCATACGCACCATGATGCAGATCGAGAACACCTACATGGAGTTAGCCAAGTCCATGCTGGCCAAGAGAAACGTCCTGGTGATCTGTGATAGAGGCGTGATGGACGGGTCTGCCTGTAAGTATTTATGGTCTGTGTGGGAGGCGTGATGGACGGGTCTGCCTGTAAGTATTTATGTCTGTGTGAGAGGCGTGATGGACGGGTCTGCCTGTAAGTATTAATGTCTGTGTGAGAGGCGTGATGGACGGGTCTGCCTGTAAGTATTTATGGTCTGTGTGAGAGGCGTGATGGACGGGTCTGCCTGTAAGTATTTATGTCTGTGGGGCGTGATGGACGGGTCTGCCTGTAAGTATTTATGTCTGTGTGAGGGGCGTGATGGATGGGTCTGCCTGTAAGTATTTATGTCTGTGTGAGGGGCGTGATGGATGGGTCTGCCTGTAAGTATTTATGTCTGTGTGAGGGGCGTGATGGATGGGTCTGCCTGTAAGTATTTATGTCTGTGTGAGAGGCGTGATGGACGGGTCTGCCTGTAAGTATTTTATTGTCTGTGTGAGAGGCGTGATGGATGGGTCTGCCTGTAAGTATTTATGTCTGTGTGAGAGGCGTGATGGATGGGTCTGCCTGTAAGTATTTATGTCTGTGTGAGGGGCGTGATGGATGGGTCTGCCTGTAAGTATTTATGTCTGTGTGAGGGGCGTGATGGATGGGTCTGCCTGTAAGTATTTATGTCTGTGTGAGAGGCGTGATGGACGGGTCTGCCTGTAAGTATTTATGGTCTGTGTGAGAGGCGTGATGGATGGGTCTGCCTGTAAGTATTTATGTCTGTGTGAGAGGCGTGATGGACGGGTCTGCCTGTAAGTATTTATGGTCTGTGTGAGAGGCGTGATGGACGGGTCTGCCTGTAAGTATTTATGTCTGTGTGAGAGGCGTGATGGATGGGTCTGCCTGTAAGTATTTATGGTCTGTGTGAGAAGCATGATGGACGGGTCTGCCTGTAAGTATTTATGTCTGTGTGAGAGGCGTGATGGACGGGTCTGCCTGTAAGTATTTATGTCTGTGTGAGAGGCGTGATGGACGGGTCTGCCTGTAAGTATTTATGGTCTGTGTGAGAGGCGTGATGGACGGGTCTGCCTGTAAGTATTTATGTCTGTGTGAGAGGAGTGATGGATGGGTCTGCCTGTAAGTATTTATGTCTGTGTGAGAGGCGTGATGGACGGGTCTGCCTGTAAGTATTTATGGTCTGTGTGAGAGGCGTGATGGACGGGTCTGCCTGTAAGTATTTATGTTTGTGTGAGAGGCGTGATGGATGGGTCTGCCTGTAAGTATTTATGTCTGTGTGAGAGGCGTGATGGACGGGTCTGCCTGTAAGTATTTATGGTCTGTGTGAGAGGCGTGATGAATGGGTCTGCCTGTAAGTATTTATGTCTGTGTGAGGCGTGATGGATGGGTCTGCCTGTAAGTATTTATGGTCTGTGTGAGAAGCATGATGGACGGGTCTGCCTGTAAGTATTTATGTCTGTGTGACGGGCGTGATGGATGGGTCTGCCCGTAAGTATTTATGTCTGTGTGAGAGGTGTGATGGATGGGTCTGCCTGTAAGTATTTATGTCTGTGTGAGAGGCGTGATGGACGGGTCTGCCTGTAAGTATTTATGGTCTGTGTGAGAGGCTTCAGGGTCAGCATAGTCAAATTAGGGGATTTTGATTAACATATTTGAATAAACAGAACCATGAAATCCAGGGTAGAAGAGGTCTTCAGCAACCCACGTTTGCCGTAAAAGGCGACTATGCTTGTCGTAAGAGGCGACTAACGGGATCAGGTGGTCAGGTTCACAGACTTGGTTTGATGCATGTCATCGTATCCCAATTGCGTAAATCGATGCTCATAATGTCTATCACTGGATTGTATGGTCCAGACTCGATTATTTACAGACTGCAGTCATATAGCTGAAATATTATTAGTTAAGGTGTCTTGTTGTCGTATATAGTGTCGTATTAGGTTAGAAGAACAAAATAATTCTGCTAACCTCATTTGACACCGTATACGGCATCTTAAGACACCATAACGAAATTAATATGCCGAAAAGTTTACACTACTTGGTATCTTTATCGCACATGTTATGTCGAAATGAAAACATGACACTTACAACCGGTATTTATAAATGACAGGTTAGTTATCCAGTTTGTATGCCAAGGGCTCTATGCTTGGTATCCTTGCAAGCCTCAAAGTTGCGACTAAAAAATTTCAATTTGTCTACTGTCTAAAGTTCAGAGGTAGCCAAATAAATACCTTGAAAAAATCTTGTGGCAACTTATTTCTATTGCTGCACATATGTAGACACAAAAATAAGCGTGTCTGCTACTAATTGTACCCGCAAATAATTCCTCCTAAAGTCAACAATGAACTGAAATACATAAATATTAATTTAATTAGTATTTTATTTGAGTTGATAGTTTATTGGATAAGCAAGGATATACCTATATAATCTAGTAACATAAATTGCATAATTGTTCAAGTCACAAATACCGTATTCGACGTAATAAGCGCCCCGCTCTAATAAGCGCCCACGGCGATATTTGCTAATATATTGGCAAGTGAACAATCCCAATTAGCACCCTTTCCGATTGATCAAAGTACACAAGACTTATTTATTCGTGTATAATACGCACTCGTGTGTTATATGCACCCTTAATTATGGGGAATTAAATTCTGGAATCAGCATAAACCACGAAATTTATCTTTCATTTCTGTTTTTTCCACCAAAATAATATTCTAATAAGAGCCCCCTATTTCTAATTTTGAGAGGGCCCTGGGCGCTTATTACGTCGAATACGGTAACCAAAACTCAAGTACAGTTTCCACTAATATACAATTCCAAGACTAGTGCTATGACTTGTACAGTTAATAGTTATTTGATAAAAGATCATTTCAAATGCTTTTGGATACCAACACTATAGGCTTGACTTCTTAATTTTACCACTGGCTACCTGGAAAAAAATACTTGTAGCCATATGACTACTTAGTCAAAATTGAAACTTTGAGGCCTGCCTTGATAAACACCTGTTTTGGCTGTTCCTGTAGACCTGCATAAAGGCGACTGGGAAAAGATGAAGCAGGTGAACGAGTGGAATGAGATTGACATCCGAGACAACCGCTACAACCAGATCATACACATGGTGTCGGCCGCTAAAGGTGCTGAGGACTTCTACACGGTCGCCGGACACAAGACACGCCATGAAGATCTCGAGGGTGCTCGGCAGATAGACAGTATCACAGCTAATGTATGTGGCTATTTATATCACATCTTAGTGATCACTACAGTCCGTTTGACTCCAAATGAGAACGATGAATTGCAAAATAACTCCAAATCCAGAAAAGTGCATGAAACGTCAATACGGTACTTGACCATGAATACCCTGTACCCAACAAAATCTGAATTTTGTTTATTTTAAGACCCATGACGGATGAAGTTGTTTAAGAAACTATCATGTAATTTTGTATAGAAATGTGTACATGACACGTAGGGGGACAAACCGTGGAAGGAACAGCGCAAGCATGCATGCACTGCACATTCTGTGGTAAGGGAAATGACAGAGTGTTAGAGGGGCCGTCTCATGATAATTTCAGTTGCAATCTGACTCGCTCATTACAGGTCAAGTCAGAACAACCAATTGGAAACTTTGACAGACCAATGGAATGACCAACAAGAAGTCAACATTAGCCAATCAGAAAGCAGCTTTCTTGAGCTTTACGTTAGTAGTTTCAAAATGGCTACTTCCATTCCAGACTACTCTTTGAAAAGTATTTTGATAAGGTTCTTTATTCAAAATTTGAAAACTGAACAAAGGAAAATTCTGGAATGTCTAATAGATGGCTGATGTTGTATGGCCGTACTTCTCACGGGCTGTGGAAAGTCTTCTATTTGAATGTTTAACTCATTGAAGCGAGAGATAGACGATGATTTTATCGGAATCATTTGTACAGCCCGTAACTGTTGTTTGGAATAGCCCATGTTAACCTATTGTCGAGATTACATGATTAGAAAACACATTTTGAAAGTCGCTTTTTTGATCTGGTAAGTGACACTCTGATTGGTCAGATAAATTGTCGTTCTGACATAACCCATAATAATAGGACGTCCTCCGATCTTTGTACCGCCTCCGTGGTCTAGTGGTAGAGCATCCGCCCAGGGAGCGGAAGGTCAGGGTTCGATTCTGGCCGAGTAATACCAAAAGACATTTAAAGATAGAACTTGTTGTTACCCTGTCTGGCGCTCCCCATTGAGGTTCTAAAACAAGTACTGGTCAGCTCGGAGTCAGTATACTGTGTCTGAGTGGGGTATTTATGCATGGTATCTCAGTGGGCTAGCACTAAAATCGGCATTAGTCCACACATCGACATGAACACACACACACACACACACATTGGAATATAAGTGCAATAATCTTGGAAGCGACGTTAAACCCGTTTTCACCTTGTCCCTAGCAACCTATGCTGGTGTGATGAGATGACTTAATGGATCGGGTGGTCAGACTCGGTGAGTTGGTTGATAGCGTGTATTCGTACCCCAACGCTGTGGATTATTGCTCACAATATCAATCTCTGGGTTTTCTGGCCCAGACTCGATTATTTACAGGCCGCTGTCCTATAGCTGGAATATTGCTGAGTGCAGCATTAATCAACAAACACACACACACTCAGTTGTCTATGTCTATGCAATCCATGTGCACCTGTTGGCTGGATCATGGTGTCAAACTTGATTATATTCTAGTTTATCGTCACTGTACTTTGCTTTCGGATTTTAACAAAGTGGTGAACTTCCAAGTAGGCTTCCTCCCATGCTTGCCGTAAAAGACGACTATGCTTATCGTAAGAGGCGACTAACGGGATCGGATTGTCAGGCTTGCTGATTTGGTTGATACATGTCATCGTATCCCAATTGCGTGGATCGATGCTCATGATGTCAATCACTTGATTGTCTGGTCCAGACTCGATTATTTACAAACCGCCGTCATATAGCTGGAATATTGCTGAGTGCGAGTATTGCTGAGTGCTGCATTAAACAACTCACTCACTCACTCACTCACTCACTCACTCACTCACTCACTCACTCACTCACTCACTCACTCACTCACTCACTCACTCACTCACTCACTCACTCACTCACTCACTCACTCACTCCTGCACTCACAGGTAATCACTCAACTGCCAGCCTCAAGCTAAAACAAGATGGCTGCCATAAAGTCATTCCCAAAGCAGAGAAGGCAGTTTCGTATTCAAGGGGAAGTTTCGTATCCACATATTAACAATGTGTGTCATGTTGCAGTAACCATGGTAACAATGCTGTTTTCTTTTCCCAGGCTTGGGTTGGACATCCCTACTATGATGTCATTGACAACTCGGTGGACTTTGAAACAAAACTGACAAGGATGATAGCAGTAAGTCTTCAAGTGTTTATTTTGGGATGTGGGGATTGTATGTCCCCACTACTCCGTCTTCTTTCTATGAACTGCCTGGGACCCCAGCAACCTAATGGATCAGGTGGTCATTGCCCTGTGACTATGTTTCCCTTGGTTTCTACAAGTTTGGGGGCACGGGTGGCCCAGTCGTCTAAGGGGCCACAATTTGCTGTGCAGAGTTGCGTCCCTTGGGCATTCCAGAATCCTATAATTGTGGGTTTGAATCCTGGTTTTACCCTGATTATGTTCTAAAGTACTGTCAGAAATGCTAGAAAACTGCTTTTTGCCTGTTAAAAAGGGATATAATTTTTCACAGACTGTTGTTATTGAAATATCGAGTAACTACCGATCGCTCTACCTGTGGTTTGAAGTATTTCAGTCACAAGGAGTCCTATCGACAAGTTTACAGGTGACAAATTCGAACGAAAACAGGGAGTTCACATTTAATCTAAGTCCAATGATGGCAGTCTGAAACGGACTATAGAAATATGCTCACGTGACTCCGTTACAATGATAATAATGTAGTCTTCATAAAACATCTACTCCACACACAAAATTTTTTGAGAAAATTCTAGATGTGCATCTTCTAAAACAAAATGACGATGCGTTTTTTTTTTGTTAACATTGCTCCCATGATGCATGTTGCATTACACTTGCATAGCCATAACCGAGGTACACGACATGGAACCTGTACTTGGAAATGCATACAAGTTCTTTACACTTTAGAGAGATAGAGGGAAACCATTTATTAATTTAGAGAGGGTGAATTACCGAACTGCCCAAGCTATGGGGTTTTCAATTCATGCCATCAAGTCTACGGTATGATAAGAAAACAAAACTGGGGCGTAAAAGGATTTAGACAGCTTTGATACAGGGTGATTAGGCGTACAGTGTACAAGCTTTGTGAGAAGAAGGTAACCCTGACTTATAGCAGAATTTGGGAGGAATTAAAGAAACAAATTAATGTTTCCCGGACTGCACTACTGCACTATTTCGATACACTGCGCGTGGCGATGACCGGGCACTTTTCAGAGGGAAATATTCCATCCTGTCTATGAGGTCACATTATCTCTGCACCATTCATAACTATCACAGTCAGGGCGTCCAGATAATTTACCTTGGTGAATCATTCCACTGACTACATGTGGCTATTGGCAGATGGACAAAAAGCATCCAAGGTACCATCAGGTAAAGGTAATCGTGTCATTGTTTTGCACACTGCAACCCATGATATGGGGCTTATTGATAGATGTTTTCGAGCGAAAAAAAGAAAACTGGTGATTTTGATAAGGAAATTATAGGAGGTGATGTGTTCATAGACTGGTTGGAACTTCAGCTATTGCCCATTTTAAACAACGTCAGTGTGATTGTCATGGATAACGCCAGTTAATATAACGTCCCGGAATCAGATACTGTCGCCCAATCCATGAGTAGTCTGAAGGCGACCATACAGGAATATGTGACATTGGTCGACTTCAGACCATATGTAACGAAAGTTCAACTCATGGAGAAAATTCGGCTGAAGAAGAAACCAGTAAAGTACAAGACATATGTGCTGGCGGCACAACACGGTTACGTCGTATTACGCACGGCACGCCAGTCAGACATTGTGAGCTCAACCCTGTTGTGTCCATCTTGGCTAAATGTACAGGGTTGGTGGCAAGACATAACACAACATTCAAAAGTACAGATTCATATACGTCATCAGCGGAGATAAATGCTACCTCAAGAAACCATCTGTAGAACAACAAATACTTCAAATATGATGCAGTACATATCCTAAATTGCTACCTCATCAACGCATGTCAATTAAGTATAATAACAGCAATATTTTGAGACCACCCCCAACTCGGTGACATTTGCACCTGGGAGAATACACGGGGTGTGTGAGGTCATCACCTCGGGACAGGTGTTAGGTAATTACCTCAGGTTATAGGCCATTTCATACATGCATGACAACACACGAATATTTTCTAAGTTGATCATCATTTTACCTGTAAAAGAACATGTTAAGGGTAATCACAGTGTCAGTTACGTCAGGCTAGATTAGAGCAATTCGCGTTATTTTGATATATGCTCTTTTTATAGTCCTATGACTCGTATTTATTAAATGAAGCCAGAAAAGCAGTTTTCTAGCATTTCCGACAGTACTTTAGGTTTGTCAGCACCATACCCATGCTCGTGGGTTTCACCAAAGTGGTAAACGTCTGAGACCTTCATCGGCTTTCCTCCCACATCAAGGTGACACATCGGGATGTAACTGGAGTACTGTTAAAAGTATTACCCAGCTAAACCCAACTCATTCACTCACTCACTCATATTCTACATGTTTGGGACAAAGAGAATCCTTTTGGTGTGTTTAATTCTACTCTCCAAACTCTGAGACTCTGTTGATGACGTGTCAACGTAAATACTGCGACCGTGTTAATCGTTGCTCGTAATATCAATCACTGGATTGTCTGGTCCAGACCTGATTGTTTACAGGCTGCTGGATAACGTTTTAGGTTGGTATGTGACGGTTCTGTTTCCTCCTGTGTCTTCAGGCTGTGTGTAACAGGATGGGTATAGACGCGGTGGACCGACTCGCTCCTGACAGCAAGAAGAGGAAGTTCCTGGTATCACGTCTGCCTGGAACCGAGGTGAGAGATGTCGGGTTTTTTCACCATCACTGACACAATCAGTGGAAATTGGTCAGTGAGAGGCATGTGAAAATGATTGTAAAATGGGGAGCAGTGGGGTAACCTAGGGGTTAGAGCTTTCGCACGCCGAAGACCCGGGTTTGATTCCCGACATGGGTACAATGTGTGAAGCCCATTTCTGGTGTCCCGTCATGAAATTGCTGGAATATTGTTAAAAGCGGCATAAAACCATACTCACTCACTCACTTGAACTGAATGCACTATTTGATTTGAACTTTGTAGAATTATCGAGAACATTTGCAGTTTAAGTGGATTGTCATGTTCTGGTGAACAATGGCAGTTTACACACAATATATGAAGCTACGATATTGCTGCCTATAGCAGAAACCTTCCCTCTCTCAGTAACGTTGAATACAGTGTTGATACACTCTACCCTCGTTCCAGGACTTCCCCCACCACCAGACGTTCACGGTCGTCCACGACTATCTGGTCACCCCCAGCAGGAAGATGCAGGCACGGCTCAGACGCAGGGGACATGACGGTAACTGTCACACACCACGGAATCTTGGGTTGGGGTCTGAATTGAGATATCGTTAACACGCCCAACATAATCCTCACAATATCATGTGTACTACAGTGGAATCCACCAACATAAGTAAGCCAGCGTTAGAATTTGGCACTAGTCCTGTAGTCCTTACCAAACTGCCCAATAGTAAAGGTATCATGAGGACTAGTAGAAATTGGCCCATTTTAAGGGTTTTGCTATATATTATCATTATAAGGACTAGTGGACAAAAACTGTTAGTTTCTAACTCTGTAAGCCTGTTTTAATGGGCATTTGACTTTCATATTTTGTAAGGGGCAGTCAGGTAGCCTTGTGGTGAAAGCAGCTGCTCATCACTGAAGACCCAGGTTCGATTCCCGACATGGGAACAGTGTGTGAAGCCCATTTCTGGTGTCCCCCGACGGGATATTGCTGGAATATTGCTAAAAGCAATAAAACCAAACTCACTCACTCACTCATATTTTGTTAGTTGCGCAGTTGTCTATGTAAAATGTAAAAAGAAAACTTTATTACCGTATTCGACGTAATAAGCACCCAGAGCGCTCTCAAAATTAGAAATAGGGGGCTCTTATTAGAATATTATTTTGATGGAAAAAAAAACAGAATTGAAAGATAAATTTCGTTGTTTATGCTGACAGCCTGAAATGTTTATATACGACAGATATATTTTTCCAGAATTTAATTGCCCATAATTAAGGGTGCATATAGCACACGAGTGCGTATTATACGCGAATAAATAAGTCTTGTGTACATTGATCAATCGGAAGGGGTGCTAATTGGGATTGTGCACTGGCCAATATATTAGCAAATATCGCCTTGGGCGCTTATTAGAGCGGGGCGCTTATTACGTCGAATACGGTAATCTGCATAGATGGAAACTGCTCAGAATTTAGTCTCTGAGGAAGGATCTGATATACAGTAGAACACGGATATAACGAACATAGATAGAGCGAATAAATGGATACAAGGAACTGTTACAAAATCTCCCGAAACATGTTCATTACAAACTCTGTACAGTATACTCACGTATATAGTGGACTGATCCCCTGTTCTACAGTATCCCTGTCCGAACAGTTTGTTTTGTCCCTGTTCTACAGTATCCCTGTCTGAACAGTTTTATCCCTGTTCTACAGTATCCCTGTTCTACAGTATCCCTGTCTGAACAGTTTGTTTTATCCCTGTTCTACAGTATCCCTGTCTGAACAGTTTGTTTTGTCCCTGTTCTACAGTATCCCTGTCTGAACAGTTTGTTTTATCCCTGTTCTACAGTATCCCTGTCTGAACAGTTTGTTTTATCCCTGTTCTACAGTATCCCTGTCTGAACAGTTCGTTTTATCCCTGTTCTACAATATCCCTGTCTAAACAGTTTGTTTTATCCCTGTTCTACAGTATCCCTGTTCTACAGTATCCCTGTCTGAACAGTTTGTTTTATCCCTGTTCTACAGTATCCCTGTCTAAACAGTTTGTTTTATCCCTGTTCTACAGTATCCCTGTTCTACAGTATCCCTGTCTGAACAGTTTGTTTTATCCCTGTTCTACAGTATCCCTGTCTAAACAGTTTGTTTTATCCCTGTTCTACAGTATCCCTGTCTAAACAGTTTGTTTTATCCCTGTTCTACAGTATCCCTGTCTAAACAGTTTGTTTTATCCCTGTTCTACAGTATTCCTGTCTGAACAGTTTGTTTTATCCCTGTTCTACAGTATCCCTGTCTGAACAGTTTGTTTTATCCCTGTTCTACAGTATCCCTGTCTGAACAGTTCGTGTTATCACTGTTCTACATTATTCCTGTCTGAACAGTTTGTTTTATCCCTGTTCTACAGTATCCCTGTCTAAACAGTTTGTTTTATCCCTGTTCTACAGTATCCCTGTCTAAACAGTTTGTTTTATCCCTGTTCTACAGTATCCCTGTTCTACAGTTTCCCTGTCTTAACAGTTCGTGTTATCCCTGTTCTACAGTATCCCTGTCTGAACAGTTTGTTTTATCCCTGTTCTACAGTATCCCTGTTCTACAGTATCCCTGTCGAAACAGTTTGTTTTATCCCTGTCTAAACAGTTTATTTTTTAACTTATCCTGCATTACTCCGTATTGCATTTACTGCTATGTTTGACAGAGAGACGAACTGTGTGAGATCCAGCTGCTGAAGAAAGTTGTCCCAACCAGCCCAGGAGGCAGCGCCCTCTCACAGTCGGCACGTGACCCGGAAGTCATGACGTCACACCAAAAGACATAACTGCTTTGTCACCTCCACGGACGGACGTACTTTGTATCCCTTGTGGAAATTAAAGCTTATTATTTGTTTTTTATATTTTGCGTGTTTCTACATTCATTATATGCTGCTACATTGTTACCTGTTGTGGGCCGTGACCTTAGGGTCTTCCCATTCGTAAATTGTATCGCTCGTCTGTGGCTCACGTCACAGTAATTTACGGGCGCAATGTTGTTCCCGCCATTTTGTTTTCTTTCCCGCCATTTTGGCCATTCACCACGTGGCCACGTAATGTCGTGTTCTGCGTTTTGAATTCTCTCTTTGGCTTGGGTAATACATTACATTTATGTATGTTGTTTTGGTGTGCTTAAAGCCTTGCCTTTTCGCTGCCTCTAAGCGTAATTGTTTCTTCTCATAAACTTCAATATAATACGAAGTTTATGAGTTACATTATGTCTCCCGTACTCTGTGGTTTTGCCACATGGTTACGTGTTTGCTTAAGGCTTTGCCTTTTCGCTCCCTTTTAGCGTACTTGTTTATCTCATAAACTTTAATAAAATATACTGTTTTTGAGTTACTTTATGCTTCCCATACTTTGTGATTGGCCACACATTATGCTTCCCGCACTTTGTGGCTTTGCCACATAGTTATGTTTTGCTTAAATTCCAGATTTTCTGCCTCGCTGCACTTGTTGCCGCGGGAACAAATCTGGCCGGGGCTGCCCCTTTCTGCCGTGATTGTACGACGCCCTGTACTTTCACAAGGCAGTGCCGATGTTGCAGTCATTCGTCGCTGTGATCCTTCAGCTCATGCGAGTATCCAGGACACACCTCGCTCAACGTGCTCGTCGACCCCCACCTACGTTGACGGCAGCAGCGCTCAGCGGAGCTTCACGGCGGCTCCCAACGTAGAGTCTGCCTCCCATGGCACGACATACGACCGTTCACGGTCTCCTACTCCACTGGCGGCTCCAGCGCTCCCAACGTAGAGTCTGCCTCCCATGGCACGACATACGACCGTTCACGGTCTCCTACTCCACCGGCGGCTCCAGCGCTCCCAACGTAGAGTCTGCCTCCCCTGGCACGACATACGACCGTTCACGGTCTCCAACACCGTCAACGCTGATGTCTCCGGCGCCCCCGGCGCCCCCGGCGCCTCTGATGACACGGCGCTCCCGGCGCCTCCGGCGCCTCTGATGACGCGGCGCCTCTGATGACACGGCGCCTCTGATGACACGGCGCCTCCGGCGCTTCTGATGACGCGGCGCCTCCGGCGCCTCTGATGACACGGCGCCTCCGGCGCCTCTGATGACACGGCGCCTCCGGCGCTTCTGATGACGCGGCGCCTCTGATGACACGGTGCCTCCGATGTCTCGGCGCCTCTGATGACACGGCGCCTCCGATGTCTCGGCACCTCTGATGACACGGTGCCTCCGATGTCTCGGCGCCTCTGATGACTCGGCGCCTCTGATGACTCGGCGCCTCTGACTCGGCGCTCCCGGCGCCTCTGATGACTCGGTGCCTCCGGCGCTTCCGATGACTCGGCGCCGCTGATGTCTCGGCGCTCAACAAGCTTCATGACTTGTTCATGACAAGCTGATGACTCAGCGCTCCCGGCGCCTCCGATGACTCGGTGCCACCGGCGCCTCTGATGACTCGGCTCCGCTGATGTCTCGGCGCCTCTGATGTCTCCGCGCTCCGGCGCCTCCGCATCCTCTGATGTCTTCAGCGCTCAACAAGCTTCAGATCAACAAGCTTTATCAAGCTCAGATCAACGAGCCGACCATCCGATCTTCTACTGCGGCTTAAGGGGCACCATCGGCAATCGCCTCCCCGGCGCCACTGCCCTCTTCTCTTGCTGCCGTCTCATAACTCGTCACACGGAGAAGCATGGTGAAACAACTGTCGCCGCTCCTGTCGCTACTCTCCCGTCGGTCTTCGGGATCGTGACTATCGTACTACTTCCTGGGTGGAATCATTTCAACCAATAGACAGTTGGTCTGATTCAGCTTGCCCACTGAGACGTTATCCATAATCCCGTCGTTTAAAGCGCTATGATTCCGGAGAGATGACCTGCGGGTTTCCATCGAAACAGAGCGCCATGTGAACAGCGTCTGTATCAGATTCGATGACGACATCCACTTACAAAGAGTTTACTTCGTCGACATCGCAGACATCAACGCTGTTCTACCCTACCCTAGCGCCAGCGTTCCTGAGAGAGACTCTTCCTCGGCGCTCCCCGGGTTTTACACGACGCCCATGGGGTTCCGTGTTTTATCGCAAAACTCGGGTACACCACTTGATCGTCTCTCACACAGTTCATTGAGGATTGTCTGTGTGTGGAGTTTGCACCTCAGTTCCGACTCCAAGGCGGTTTTCTCGGCTACTGCGCAGAGTGATTTACATGTCACGTGTCAAGTACTCGGACTGTCAACAACTCCGACCGGATTTAGGTCAACTTACCATGGCAAGGGGTGCCATGTATTTCTACAGATTGGTTTCCATGTCTACCTGTACGCTTGGTGATACCACTCAACCAGGCGCCTGTCGCAGTCCATCCATGCACGGATGTTGGAAACAATAGACCTCCTCTACCAACACGGCTGTCACGAGGAACCTTGTTTCATCAACCCTTCGCTATAAGAACGATAGCGCCTATAGGCGTTCAAGGGATGGAAAAGATCGCCTTCCTTCGTCCGGTTTGATCTTTTCGACTACGACACCTTCCTATCTTCCGCCTTGACTACCGGACACAGTGTCGATTTGATACTTAAAGTCCCTCGGCCGTCCCACTGACCCCTGTTGCATACCTGCCTCGTATCGTGTTGTCGTCCTCCATCGTCACCTCGATATAAGAACAGGAGTACTTATACGCCGCTTCAGGGATGAAAACGATCTCATTACTTCGTGCAATGGCCATATTGCCTCGACTTCCTACTACCCGGTTACGTCGATGCCCCGGCGGTCGATTGTGAAGCTAGTTTACTTCGTCTACTTGAGGTTGGCTCGCAGGCGATCACACCTTTTTCCGAATCGTACCGACGGTACGCAATCGCAGACCCCTGTTGCTGACTACCTCCCCTGCCACCTTGTCAGTGGCTAGTGGCCCACGCCAGCCCACATTGTGACCACCTGTGATCCAGAGATCAACACCATAGGCACAGCAACAGCCTCGAGATAAATGCTTATCCAGGACGGCACTTGCTGACAGTGCATTCTCGGTCACGCCCTGTTGATCGTGTCCACTGACGACGTCACCGTAGTGTGGTGTTTGCGGACCCAGAGTTCTCGCCCCTCTCCCGGCGCTACAAACTCGACCGGCGCCCCCGAGAATCACCATCTTAGGCGTTCCAGGCGCCTCAAGCTCTCCGACGCCTCACGCTCTCCGGCGCCTCGGGCCAGACTATGTGAAACGGTCGACACCCCAACCCTAGATCTGTTTGCCTCATATCTGAATGTGGCCAGCAGTCGTCTTCCATTCCACCTGTGCCGGATACGACCGCTGTGGCAGTCGAAGCCTTCCATCGTTCCTGAGAAGGATTACGCGCGTACGCTTTTCCGACTCCGGTTCTCCCTCCCACGGTTCTTCAGAGATCCAGGCCACTCGACCCCTGCCATTGACTTTGGTCTCGCCTTATTGGTCAGCCAGAAGTTGGGTTATCGACCTCCGAAACATAGCCAGAGACAACCCCTGGAACTTCCGGTGTGGTCCAACCTTCTGCTCCATCCACACGGTCTGTTGCCACACCCTCATACCCGCATGTTATCGTCTGCACGCCTGACACACATGCAGAAAGCCAAGGGCTATTCGGCTAGAGCGACCAAGGCTATTGCTTCAGCCCACCGTCCATCTACAGGGGGACTGTATGCTGATAAATGATGCTTGTTCCAGGCATTTTGTTCTGACAAACACCAGGATCCGATGACAGCGTCACCGCAGATCCTGGATCAGTTCCTTCTGTACTTGTGTAGCACCCATCGGTTGAAGGGCTTACCACCCCCACATACCTGGTCGCCATCTACTCCTTTCTGGCCATCCCGGACGATCGGAGAAAGACGAAAATTCCCGACCTACGGGCCTGGCTGCGCTCGTTCAGTCTTGAAGACCTGAAGACCAAGTTCGGACCGCCTGCGTTGGATCTGAATGTGGTCTTCAATGCCCTTCGAACCACTCCCCTCGTCTTCCTTCTTCGACCTTAAGTAGAAGACGGGTGTTTCTACTGGTTTTGACTACTGCCGCTCGAGTCCATGTACAGCACGCCCTCGACGTCTCCCATGCCCGGTTCGAATGCGGTACCCAGGGCGCCGTTCATCATGGACCGTACTGGGACGTCAGCGTAAAGACTCAACTCCCAGGACAGCCTGATAGATCATTCCTTGTCCCCTCCCCCCTCGTCCAGTGTGGGTGCCGAGGATGAGGATGAGCGTCATTATGCCCAGTAAGGGCACTGAAGGTTATTCTACGATCTAAAGACTGCCGCAAGTCTAGGAAACACCTTTTTCTGCCGGTCTCCCCTTCGTCGCTGTCGTTGGTCAGCCGGAATACTTTTCCCTGTGGCTCCGGGCGGTCATCCTTAAAGCGTATGAGCCGCCGGATTGGACCCTCCCCCCAAAGGCTATTACCTGAAATAAAATGAGATCAGGGCGATCGTATTTACACTGGTTCTTCACGGTATACTGTTCCATCCCGTCGTTCAGGTAAGCCTGTTCGTGGCGATCGGACACCGCCTTCACCAACCACTACTTCCGTGATGTAGCCTTGAAAGTTGTCGCCGGCGTTCACAGTTTTGGTCCCTGGTTGTAGCCCAACAGGTCATCTATCTCCGACGCCACTGATTCTCCGATACCCTGAGCGGGGCCCGTCGACCTTTCTGGTGTTTATCACCCCAGACGAGACGGCTCTCTTGCGTTCCGCATTCGCTCTTAGGTCAGTTTTAGTTTTGGGTTACCCGACTCATTCTATTGCTGTCACCTATCCGGGTTTTACTTTTTGCATCAACTCTCGTTTCCTGACGACAGGAATGGTAGTAGATGTGGACACCGGCGCCGACGCCAACGCCGCTGCTTCTATGGTACCTGAGCGGTGCCCGTCGACCTCACCGGTGTTCCTTGCCTCCAGCCTAGAGGGCTCTCCTGCGTTTCGCATTCGATCTTGGGATTGGTCGTAGATTTTGCCGCCGACGCCGCTGATTCTTCGATTCCCCGAGCGGGGCCCGTCGAACTCTCTGGTGTTTATCACCTCAGATTAGCTCTAGGTTCTACTGCGTTTCGCTTTCGCTCTTCGGTAAGTTATATATTTTGGCTACACGCCTCATTGTATTTCGGTTACCTATTCGGGCGTTTCGTTTTTGCATCGACTCTTGTTTCCTGAAGACAGGAATGGTCGTAGATGTTCCGGTCATCACTTGTATGCGGTGCGGATTCATCGGACCTTGACGAGGGTTTAATATGGTTCACATCTGCAAGTATGCCCACCGGCCAAGCCGTCTGATAAAGATGCAATACGGAGTAATGCAGGATAAGTTAAAAAATTTAGTAAAATCTAAATATTTTTTACATTTGTATACTTATCCTGCATTACGAAGTCTAAGTTCCCTCCCTTTCGCTACGCTACCTCCCCACGAAGTTTCAGATGTTATGTTTAAAGCAGTTATGTCTTTTGGTGTGACGTCATGACTTCCGGGTCACGTGCCGACTGTGAGAGGGCGCTGCCTCCTGGGCTGGTTGGGACAACTTTCTTCAGCAGCTGGATCTCACACAGTTCGTCTCTCTGTCAAACATAGCAGTAAATGCAATACGGAGTAATGCAGGATAAGTATACAAATGTAAAAAATATTTAGATTTTACTAAGTTTTATCCCTGTTCTACAGTATCCCTGTCTGAACAGTTTGTTTTATCCCAGTTCTACAGTATCCCTGTCTGAACAGTTTGTTTTATCCCAGTTCTACAGTATTCCTGTCTGAACAGTTCGTGTTATCCCTGTTCTACAGTATCCCTGTCTGAACAGACTTTGCCTCACCTATGCATGTCTCTGTCCCCAGCTAACTGGACGTACACGCACACGATCCGTCGGCCGGAGATCAACAAGCAGAGCGTGGAGCTGAGGATGCCCATATCGGCCAAGGATTACGATGTGAGTTTCCTAACACATGTGATGTAACAGCGATTTATCTACCCCTGCTCAGGGGCCTATATTCGGCCCCAAATCTTCAACAAATGACAGAAATATTCCCAATTTGAATGAATAATTTCCCAATTCTTCAGAATTTATGAAAACCTAAAAATATCAAATTTTGAATAAAATAACAGTCTTTTCCAAATTGACCTGCCAAGAGCATTTATTTTTGAATCAGGATAATCCCTGTATAACTGGAATACTTTCAAAGTGGTGTTTAACTAGGCTAGTCAGGCCACTTGAATGGGTAGGGACCAACCGTTTGGTATTCAGGGATTGGAGGAAGTGTGATTTTGTCCCAGAAAATTCTTGAAAAGGTGTAATTTTCTTAAAAATATGTTCTGGCTCATGGTTTTAATTAGAGACTATCTGGTTTGGGAGCTGTTGCTGAAGAAATATCTAAGTTCCAGAATGAATCCCAGTCCTGACATGGGTACAATGTGTGAAGCCCATTTCTGGTGTCCCCTGCCGTGATATTGCTGGAATATTGCTAAAAGCGGCGTAAAACCATACTCACTCACTCTGATTCACTTCGGGCTTTCCTCCCACAGTAATCTGAAACACTGTGATATTACTCAAATACTTTTCAAAGCGGAATTAATATCACCTCACTCACTCAACTCTCCATTGTGCCGTTGTGTTTCAGATTCTGCTGGCCCAGCGTGATGACAAGCATGCCACGGTGTACAAGAAACGCCACTGCTTCCTGTACCAGAACCAGTACTTCCAGCTGGACGAGTACACCGAACCATGCCCAGAAAAGTAAGGACTTGAGATATTTGTGTTAGAGTCAGGTTTACTTAACTTACTTATATGGTCATCATAGCTATCGTAGGTCTATGTTAGAGTATGGGAAATATGGTCATCGTAGCGTTAGGACTATCGTAAGTCTATGTTAGGGTATGGGATATATGGTCATCGTAGCGTTAGGACTATCGTAAGTCTATGTTAGGGTATGGGATATATGGTCATCGTAGCATTAGGACCATCGTAAGTCTATGTTAGGGTATGGGATATATGGTCATCGTAGCGTTAGGACCATCGTAAGTCTATGTTAGGGTATGGGATATATGGTCATCATAGCGTTAGGACCATCGTACTTCTATGTTAGGGTATGGGATATATGGTCATCGTAGCCGTAGGACTATCGTAAGTCTATGTTAGGGTATGGGATATATGGTCATCGTAGCATTAGGACCATCGTAAGTCTATGTTAGGGTATGGGATATATGGTCATCGTAGCGTTAGGACAATCGTAAGTCTATGTTAGGGTATGGGAGATATGGTCATCATAGTGTTACGACCATCGTAAGTCTATGATAGTGTATGGGATATATGGTCATCATAGTGTTACGACCATCGTAAGTCTATGTTAGGGTATGGGATATATGGTCATCATAGCGTTACGACCATCGCAAGTCTATGATAGTGTATGGGATATATGGTCATCATAGCGTTACGACCATCGTAAGTCTATGTTAGGATGTGGAATATATGGTCATCATAGCGTTACAACCATCGTAAGTCTATGTTAGGGTATGGGATATATGGTCATCATAGCGTTACGACCATCATACTTCTATGTTAGGATATGGAATATATGGTCATCATAGCGTTACGACCATCATACTTCTATGTTAGGGTATGGGATATATGGTCATCATAGCGTTACGACCATCGAAAGTCTATGTTAGGGTATGGGATATATGGTCATCATAGTGTTACGACCATCGAAAGTCTATGTTAGGGTATGGGATATATGGTCATCATAGTGTTACGACCATCATACTTCTATGTTAGGGAATGGAATATATGGTCATCATAGTGTTACGACCATCGAAAGTCTATGTTAGGGTATGGGATATATGGTCATCATAGTGTTACGACCATCGAAAGTCTATGTTAGGGTATGGGATATATGGTCATCATAGTGTTACGACCATCGAAAGTCTATGTTAGGGTATGGGATATATGGTCATCATAGTGTTACGACCATCATACTTCTATGTTAGGGAATGGAATATATGGTCATCATAGTGTTACGACCATCGAAAGTCTATGTTAGGGTATGGGATATATGGTCATCATAGTGTTACGACCATCGAAAGTCTATGTTAGGGTATGGGATATATGGTCATCATAGTGTTACGACCATCGAAAGTCTATGTTAGGGTATGGGATATATGGTCATCATAGTGTTACGACCATCATACTTCTATGTTAGGGAATGGAATATATGGTCATCATAGTGTTACGACCATCATACTTCTATGTTAGGGAATGGAATATATGGTCATCATAGTGTTACGACCATCATACTTCTATGTTAGGGTATGGGATATATGGTCATCATAGTGTTACGACCATCATACTTCTATGTTAGGGTATGGGATATATGGTCATCATAGTGTTACGACCATCATACTTCTATGTTAGGGTATGGGATATATGGTCATCATAGCGTTACGACCATCATACTTCTATGTTAGGATATGGGATATATGGCCATCTTAGCGTTACGACCATCATACTTCTATGTTAGGATATGGGATATATGGCCATCTTAGCGTTACGACCATCATACTTCTATGTTAGGGTATGGGATATATGGTCATCATAGCGTTACGACTATGGTAAGTCTATGTTAGGGTATGGGATATATGGTCATCATAGCGTTACGACTATCGTAAGTCTATGTTAGGGAATGGGATATATGGTCATCATAGCGTTACGACCATCGTAAGTCTATGTTAGGGTATGGGATATATGGTCATCATAGCGTTACGACCATCATACTTCTATGTTAGGATATGGGATATATGGCCATCTTAGCGTTACGACCATCATACTTCTATGTTAGGGTATGGGATATATGGTCATCATAGCGTTACGACTATGGTAAGTCTATGTTAGGGTATGGGATATATGGTCATCATAGCGTTACGACTATCGTAAGTCTATGTTAGGGAATGGGATATATGGTCATCATAGCGTTACGACCATCGTAAGTCTATGTTAGGGTATGGGATATATGGTCATCATAGCGTTACGACCATCATACTTCTATGTTAGGATATGGGATATATGGCCATCTTAGCGTTACGACCATCATACTTCTATGTTAGGGTATGGGATATATGGTCATCATAGCGTTACGACTATGGTAAGTCTATGTTAGGGTATGGGATATATGGTCATCATAGCGTTACGACCATCATAAGTCTGTGTTAGGGTATGGGATATAGGGTCATCTTAGCGTTACGACCATCATACTTCTATGTTCGGGTATGGGAGATATGGTCATCGTAGCACTAAGATCGCTTTATGCAAGTTGACCCAGGAAAATAACAAGGGTCTGGTGGCCTTCAAAGAAAATGTATAACTTTTGTTACTTAATCCAGCATCCCATATATGTTGCCATGCAAGTGCGATACTGTTGAACGTGATGTCACACCGCCCACCTCACCAGACCCATGAAGATTTCGGGGTAGAAGGTCTTCAGCAACCCATGCTTGCCGTAAAAGGTGACTATGCTTGTCGTAAAAGGCGACTAACGGGATCGGGTGGTCAGGCTCGCTGACTTGGTTGATGCATATCATCGATCCCAATTGCGTGGATAGATGCTCATGATATTAATCAATGGATTGTCTGGTCCAGATTCGATTACTTACAGAGAATATTGCTGAGTGTGGCGTTAAACAACAATCCAATCCAATCCAATCCCACCTCACCTCACCTGCACTTTGTGTTTGTTGCAGATGCCAGGGGTTGATCCTCCTCGAGACCTACACAACGTCAGCAGGACGCTTGGACGTACCCAAGTTTTTAAAAATAGAGAAAGAGGTGACGGACGACCCCATGTTTTCCATGTTCAACCTGTCACTCAAGGACGAGTTCTCCAGGAACAAAAAAGAATTGGACTTGTCTAAAGATGAAGACGAGTGATTGGTTTATATGTAAAGTGACAAGTAGTCAAATTGGCCAGAACTTGCAATGAAAACCTGTGAGGCTGAAACGATACATTAATGCACCTGCGATATTAATAGTATCCTACACGATATGCCCTTGTTGGTAGTCCTGTTTAGCATAGTAATCAGTGTTAATGTCATTCTTAAATTGGTTTGATATCTTGAGCGGTAGGAAACCGTTTAGATCAATAAACGAACGTAGACCATATTGCCGCGCTGACCAAAACACAATTTGATATGGGGAAGTGTTGGTGTGGATGTTACAGACAGGAAGACAGGATGATAGGAGATAAAGGCCACCGTATTTCCGCTGTAGGAAGTAACTTGACATCTGTATAAATTAAAGTTTCTGGTGACTGATAGGCCAGAATGTATTTATTTTTTTAGGTTTTCAGATTTTTGGCCCAAAAATTCAGCTTGTTAAATCGATGAAAAAGAATTTAAAAAATCCAAGTATTTTTTTTAATTTCCTTGAATTGTAGTTTTTGTGATTTCCTCAAAATGATGAGTAAGTATGAAAAAAAAATAGGGTCAGGAAGTATAGGGAAAGAAACAAGTTTAGAGTTACCTCCCTTCCTTTAAAGACCTTTATTGATACTTCATAATATGTTGTGTTTGGAAGTTTTAATCATAAAACAAGTTTTAATCATAATATTTTAAATAATTTATATTGATAGTGATAGTAAATGAGTGACAGTAACATTTTATTTTTTTCTGGTTGGCAGATTAAAGAAGACTGCTTTTCAATTTTTTTATATGTTTCACATTTCAATTTTTTTTAGTCATCTTGAAAAATTTGAAAAAACGTCTGGCCTTGTTGAAAACTTCCAGCTCTTAAACTGTTGAAGTTTAGGTGACTAATTGGCCTGTTTTTGGATTATTAAAAAAAAGTCAGAAAACAGGTTTTTAACTTTGAAAAGTGCTCGAGTTTTGAGGTCGGTAATGAGGATGAACCCAGACATAGAGCGGTGAACAAAGCAGGGCTTGATTTAAGGAACTTGATCTAACTTGCACTGGGTGCATATTGACATTAAAACCTGTTGCACCAAACAAAACCAGGTTGCAAATTGGCAGCATGAATTTATCAAAGTTACAACATAGGACGATCTGATGCCACGGTCACATAAATTACTGACATATTGGCGTGAAAAGTAACCACAACCTGTACCTAACCTTGGATGGAGTACCCACAGTGTGATGACCTCAAGGCTAAGAAAGCATGACATGACATGACATGACATGACATGACATGACATGACATGACATGGTGTAGTATGATTAATAAACTTTAAAGGTAAAGCGTGTTCAAAGATCCATATTGTGTTGACAGTAGTAAGGTTTAGTGAGACAAAAAAAGTTTGACATGCACTTGTGCATGTAGACAAAATCATTAGTCTAAAAAAAATAATAGTCTTGGTTCTGAGGCACTGAGGCGTCGTCATAAATTCTGACGTATGTTTCGTTCTTATTTCCATTTTTTTTTTTAAAATAAAAAATCCTAGTACTTTAAAACAATGCAATCCATTATATCGCACACAGTTACTTCCCTTTACATGGCCACTGCTTTACTGTGCATCTCGTGTTATGGTCATGGCAGCAAAAGGAGTTTGTATGCTTCTTGATGTAATGATTCCCATTCCCAGTTAAATGGTACATCAGTTTATTTAGGTATATACTAGTTTGAACAAGCAGAAAAAAAAATCACCGCCTGCTGCACTATGTTTTCAAAAGACATTGCCTGAGAACCAATTCTTGTATTATTTAAGCTTTAGGGTGCATTTTTCAATGATAAGTTGCACTTGTGCATGTTTTCCACAGTATCCTGATACATTTATAACGTGATACATATATATCGTGATACATATATATTGTTACTTTAGTGTATCATTTCAGTCTGTGTTTGCTGAGAGGTTGATTTTGTGACAATCAATTTGATTGGTTGATTGAAGTCACATGGCCTACATCATATTTAATGTGAGTGTGTTTTGTTACAGAATGTATTTTGTTCATGTATGGGCTTAAATTTGAAGAAAAAGATTGGAAGTGAGGTGTTAAGAAAATGTTACATTCCTAAATATGCCGATGATATCAAAACAAATCTACTGTCATGTGTTCACGATACTGTATTTACTGAATAAGGAAACGTGTCATGAAATACTATCGTTAGGCGTAAACAAATGATTACCGCATATTGCTGTCTGTAAGACCATGCTGCATTTAATACCACACCCCCTCCCCTTTAGACACCTTCCAAATCAATGCTGCTTTATCAACCAAAACTGGCTCCCACAGGAGATATTGCTTGTGTGAGATGAAGCGATATCTTCATTGTAGATATCACTGCAATGAAATTGCATCACAATGCTTTGCAGACCATTGTGACGTCATTCACACTCACTCAGGTGAGATTCTCTCTTTATATACCATCCATGCAGCAATCAGGAACAATGGACACCGTCAGCGCATTCAATGTTTCAATAAAAAATGTTTGACATTGTAACAATAGCGCATGGCACCATTTTGTTGACAGTGCAGCTTTAAGTAACTCATTACCTCCCTTTATTTATCGTACCTTGCGTTTTGCATTTGTTTTCCAGCGGAGTGAAAAACATTAGCAAGCTTACAATATTTCAATAAAAATATGTCTTTGTTTTTATTTCGATGCTTCATTGCATGAATAATTCCAGTACATGGCACCATTTTGTTGAACTCTACGGTGGGACTCCAAGATGCCTGTAAATTAGAATGAATAGAGGCCAAGGGTTTGATCCTCAGTGAAACGATGGTCTTCTGTTATTAACTAACCGATTAACTCTGGTCAACTTTAATTTACTAAACTTGCATTAATATAGACAGCGATATACGGTATTGATTTGTCTCATATTTTAAATGTATTTATTTTCTATGAAAAATTTAAAATAATAATAATATTGTTTAATTTCTCCTGGATAATGTATGGCTTATATTCTTATTGTCCCAGATGATGTTCAACAATGCATTTATTCATGAAAAAACATTACATTTTCACAATTATATTTTGCTTTTTTCTATATGAGCCATTGCTAGGGGGTCTTTTTACCCTTAGTGGGACAAAGGAGTATATTAATGATCCAAACTAAACATATACTTGTCATGTACATAAATAATTTTAAATGGAATATTTTTCTGATTTAAGGGGATATTTTAATACAGTTTGAAATGAAGTTTTTAAAACAATTTCAATTCCGGACTCTCAGGATAAAAGCTATTTCTACTTTTATATTCACCAATATTTCTTTTCTGTCGGACATGTTGACAGCCCCAGTTCACCATTGCCAGTTTAAGGCTGGAAACTGTCAAGGAATTTTAACAACTGACGCTGCTTCCAGACAATATTTGTACATAGTGTGAGAATCTCAATGTTCTTGATCTGTGAGAAATAAACTAGTACAGTATTTGCCGTGATTAGCGCCCAGTTCAGTAAAGTCCCCTGAACCAACTTCTAAAGTTCAGTCTGCTAGTGCTTTATAAGCACCCTTACTAAGACTATGGCAGCCTCTATGTCCTTGTCTGTAACACATGATTCTTGCAAATCCTCTACCTCTATTGCATCTTTGCCATAAATCCTGTATTTTTTGCTTCAGTCACACTAACTAAATTTTCAGATTTTCACCAGACGTCCTCTTCACTGTCAATCACACAATTTGTTGTTCCAGAATAGCACTATAGCAACCCAAGCTGTGATGTGCGTAATAGCGGGAAACCTCACTTCTTTCCTGTGTGTGCTGGAGTCAACACCTATTGTTATAGTTGTAACGATCTAGCACTTGGTTGCAGTCATATTAATCTGAGATTTTTCTTATTTTTATAGACAATACAGATCCTATGCAGTATTGTCATACAGAACCTATGGGGTCTTCAGCAACTCATGCTTGCCCTGAAAGGCGACTATGCTTGTCGTACGGGTGATCAGGCTCGCTGACTTGGTTGATGCATGTCATCGATCCTATTGCGTGGATCGATGCTCATGATGTCAATAACTGGTTTGTCTGGTCCAGACTCGATTATTTACAGACCACCGTCATATTGCTGAGTGCGGCGTTAAACAACAAACAAACAAAACCCGAACCTATGCTTACCCTAATGGAAATACAGTTACCGTTATTAACGTTGCTATTGTTTTCATTAACATGTTAACTGTTTGCTCCTCATCACAAGCTATTTTATCATACCTCCATGTCAGAATGATGAGATCTGATTGGTTAACGTGATCTTGATAAAGTACTATGTGGCCCGCCTTGGAGGGAAATAAACTTCTCCAAGGGAGAATAAATCTCTTATACCCCGCCACAAGCAAGACAGGCTGCACGTGGATTTCTGAGAGGCAGAATAAATCCCTATACCCTGCTTCGAAGCAAAAAGCCACACGCTTTTTACGAGTCGATGAAAGTCACGTGACAGCACAAGTTCACCGCAATCGAACCACTTTGTTTTAATTCTTTTTGCAATGTCATATTAAAAAAATTGTTGAACAGGATCACAAGGGGTACATGGGTTTTAGGTTTTATTCCATGAGCCGGAGGCAACAACTTATCGTGCATGGTTTTAATAAGCACCCCCTCCCTTTGTGAAGTTTTATAGGTGAATACAGCATTCACAGTATTATGGGAGTGTTTTCTAATGCTGTTCTCCTTGAACAAGTCTGTCTCTTTTGATTGCAATGTCTATACCATTTAAATGTAATAACTGAACAAAGGTCAAGGTCGGTGAACTTTAATGTGTTTGTGTGTTAGCAATGTAATGACAGACCGCCATTGCCAAAACCGCTGACCATAGTCATAATTTAAAATGTAATTCTGAGGTTCTCAGGAAAATATTTTTTTCAAATGTTACCTTAGTTTGTGTCGAGTCAGATAAAACATGCTTGTTTTGATTATGGACGTCAGTGGATCAGATATTTTATACCTGAGTACCTTTTGTAGCCCCGAACGTTTTCATGATTTGCATATCATGTAGAGGCAGCTTCACTGTAACTGATTACCTCCCTTTGTTTATTTATCGTATGTAGCGTTTTGCTTTGTTTTGTTCAGCTGATTGTTATATAGCTTAATGTGAAGCTTTTTGTGCCATGTAATGTAAGCACATTTATTATACTATTCAAAAGAAGTTAAGGACCATCCAGTTTTTTTCATATTACCCAAGTTAATCTGTCATCTGATGCCCCATAATAGATGAAGTAATGTGGTCCTTAACTTCTTTTGAGTAGTATATGAATGATGAGTGAAGCCAATTGGTCCAACTATTACTCCTGATTGCTGCCTGATTGGTTAATATTACGAAAATTATAAATATTTCACACTAATGTTGTCTGTGCCTTGGAGAAGATCTAGACTGCAATCGATGTGGCTCCGCTTGCCTTGTAGACTCTGTATAAGAGTTATATATTCTGGATAGGTTTGTATCAAGCGAGGGGCGGTCGGGTAGCCTAGTGGTTAAAGCGTTCGCTCGTCACGCCGAAGACCCGGGTTCAAATCCCGACATGGGAACAATGTTTGAAGCCCATTGCTGGAATATTGCTTAAAGCGGCGTAAAACCAAACTCACTCACTCACTCATTGTATCAAGCCAGCTTGATCTTTGTCATGCTTGAGAAACAAAATGTGCAGGAACTGTGTCACCAGAAAAGTGTCAGCTATGTTTCACTTGATTTCTCTGAAAAGAACTTCACTGTACATTTATTTCTGAGGGCATGTATTATGTTCAGTGTATTATAAGTTTTATGATTTTTCTTCGTTTCTTCATGAGTAATTTGGAATATTGCTGAGTGCGGCATTAAACAAGAAACATGCTCCATATAACATTTGGGTCTCTGAATGTATCAGGTGAGCTACAGTGACTATTTGCTGTTTTTTTACATTTAAATTGGACTAGAGCCCTTCATACATTGTTAAGAAATAATAAAATCTTGTCATATTGTTTGAACATCAAAAGCATCGGAAAATGATCATTTCAAAACCAACAAATACGGTGATAATTAACAAGATTCATATTGGTGTTTAGTCCATGTTTGAACCTGACGAACCTGGATTGTGTAGGTTATATTAGTGTGAGGTATTGTCTTAACCTTCCCCTGGAGGGGGCACGGGTGGCCCAGTTGTCCCAAGCACAGGGATTCGCTGTGCAGAGTTGCATCCCTTTGGCACACCAGAAACCTATGATTGTGGGTTCGAATCCCGGTTCGCCCCGGTTATGTTTCTAGGTTTCTCAGCACCATACCAGTGCTTGTTGGTTTCACCGAAGTGATAAACATCAGACCTGCATCACATCAGGCTTTCCTCCCACATTAAGTTGACATGCCGAGATATAACTGGAATACTGTTAAAAGAGGCGTTAAACCCAACTCACTCTTTCACTCATTCACTTACTCCCCTGTACTTGGAGCATGTTTTATGTTGGACCTGGTGAAAGTATGCCTATCTAGTAGCTTCATATCACTGAATGATTTAGCACGTTCAGTTGACTGTTACACGTTGTTACATCTCGGTTGTATTCCGGTGAACTATTTGCCATAATGAATCTCATTCTACTCGACCTCCTGTTTCCACACAGCTGTGTGAGCACCATGACCTTAGGATTTGGAATGCTAAGACACAGTTATGACTAATGAAATGCTGAGATAGTTTTACAACGGTTGTATCACTAAAATAGCTTCATAATGATTGTATCGCCAAGATAGATTTACGACGGTTGTATCACTAAAATAGCTTCATAATGATTGTATCGCTAAGATAGATTTATGACGGTTGTATCACTAAGATAGCTTCATAATAATTGTATCGCTAAGATAGATTTACGACGGTTGTCTCACTAAAATAGCTTCATATTGATTGTATCACTAAGATAGTCTTTACAACTTTTGTATCGCTAAGATAGATTTACGACAGTTGTCTCACTAAAAAACTTCATATTGATTGTATCGCTAAGATAGTCTTTACTACTTTTGTATCGCTAAGATAGATTTACGACGGTTGTCACACTAAATTAGCTTCATATTGATAGTATCGCTAAGATAGTCTTTACAACTTTTGTGTCGCTAAGATAGATTTACGACGGTTGTCTCACTAAAATAGCTTCATAATGATTGTATCGCTAAGATAGATTTACGACTGTTGTCTCACTAAAATAGCTCCATATTGATTTTATCGCTAAGATAGTCTTTACAACTTTTGTATGGCTAAGATAGATTTACGACGGTTGTCTCACTAAAATAGCTTCATATTGATTGTATCACTAAGATCGTCTTTACAACTTTTGTGTCGCGAAGATAGATTTACAACGGTTGTATCACGAAAATAGCTGCATAACAATTGTGGTGCGAAGATAGTCTTTACAATTGTTGTAGTGCTGAGATAACTTTAACAACGGTTTTATCACTGTGATAACTTCATAATCATGATTGTAATGCTATGATAGTGTTTACAACTGTTATAACACTAAGTGAGGGTTTACAACCGTTATAACACTAAGACTTCACAATATTTGTAGCTAAGGCAGCTTTGTTTTGTAATGACCCCCAACAATATACACTACTCCACTTTTGAAAGGGATATTTATATCTTCCCATGATATACCAAACTGATTCTCAGAATATGTCATGTTTATATTTAAATAGAATGACATATCTGATAATCCTTATCAAAAGTTGAGTAGTATAGTTCATTACATCAGTGTTTCATTGCAAAATGACACACTAAAAACCATGTTGTGAAGTCCCTCTAGCCCCAGTGTGTTACAGTGATTATTGTTCATTATTGTGTATACTACTGCTAGAATTCTAGGGACTGGTCATTATTACAGGGGGCGGTCGGTAGTAAAAAATATTTTCCAAACATTTTTTTTAAACATTTCAACATTATTTAGGGACTGGTCATTTGTTAGAGGGAGGGGGGCATGCAAAAATGTTACATGTATTTAGGGGGTCAACAGAATATACAGGCCTAAAACCAGATGTTCTCTCTCGCTTTAATGCCAACACCCCCCATTAATGGACAAGTCCATGTGGAGTTTACAGTTGGTTCATGCTGTATTTTACTTTGCATGTTTTCATGTCGTTTGTATAAGAGTGCATTTTGCTTGTGTATAAATACATGAATTGTACATTGCTGTCTTAATACAGGTGTATATAAATTTTTTCTGCGAATTTTTTCATTTTTCTGTAAACATGATCCTCTTCTCATTTCTGTTACCAAAATTTGTGTCTCATTTTTTGAAACCATTATCCTTCTTTCAGAAGAAGACACTTTTTACATGCGAGTCCTATGAATGTATGCAAAATTATAGAGGTCTGCTTTGCTGTCCCTTGTCTGATTGAAGAGTTGCCTCCCTTGGGCATGCCAGGAATCTGTGATCGTGGGTTTGAATCCCTGTTTGCCTCAGTTGTTTCTAGGTTTGTCAGCACCATACCCGTGCTCGTGTGTTTCACCAAAGTGGTAAACACCCGAGACCTGCATCACTTCGGGCTTTCCTCCCACATTAAGCTGACACGCCGTGATATAACTGGAATACTGTTCTAACCCGTGTTAAACCAAACTCACTAACTCGCCTTGTCTGGATACACAGGAATTTACTGTTGCATTTCCAGGGAAAGTGAAGCAATATTGTTCAAAATAAGGGACACTCAACAAAAACAGATGAAAATCTTTCAGTCTTCAGAAAGTTATCAATTTTAATCAAGCTGTAACTTCACTTGGGGACAAATAAAACCTAATTTGTTGTGGCCTTACGACTGGTTTATATTGCATATTTAAGTCTGGATTTCTGGTGCTAAGCTTAATGCTCAAAGAAAAACTCTCATTAGTTCATATTATTTTTTACTTGGGCACTTCATAGTTTACATCCTCTTTGATCTTGTTATGTAATTATTCAAACAAGTATTATCACCGTTGTCATATTTATTTCATCGGCAGTTGATACAATACTAGTTTACATTCTTGTTATCCTGTTAATGTCACAATTATAGAATTGCCTTTCAGCAGCTTATACAGTCAGTGCAGATATGTTTTTCAAGCATTTGCAGTTGAGTGATCAAATTTCCTATATCTGACATTCTTCCTAGATCATGTGAGGATGGAATAAACTTATTTACTGTGTATTGGTCTTTGTTGTCACAATCCTGTAGGGAGGGAGTGAGTGAGTTGGGTTTAACGCCGCTTTTAACAGTATTCCAGTTATATCGCGGCGTGTCAGCTTAATGTGGGAGGAAAGCCCGAAGTGATGCAGGTCTCAGACGTTGACCACTTCGGTGAAACCCACGAGGAAGGGTATGGTGCTGACAAACCTAGAAACATAATCGGGGCGAACCGGGATTCGAACCCACAATCATAGGTTTCGGGCGTGCCCAAGGGACGCAACTCTGCACAGCGCCTTAGACGACTGGGCCACCCGTGCCCCCCGTGCCCCCCAATCATGAAGGGATCTGGAATAGAATGTGTCCCCAGCACCCTGTTGCTGGTTGGTTTGTTGTTTAACGCCGCACTCGGCAATATTCCAGCTACATGACGGCGGTCTGTATATAATCGAGTCTGGACCAGACAATCCAGTGACTGACATCATGAGCATTGGGATACGATGACATGCATCAACCAAGACAGCGAGCCTGACCACCCTATCCTGTTAGTCGCCTCTTACGACAAGCATAGTCGCCCCATTGCTGGTCGTACGAGGCGATTAGATTGGGAACCTGTAGGGAATCCGGGTTATAAATGGTCCCTAGCTTCTATGCAGGCTGTAAGAAGCGATTGAATGGATCTTGGGGTCAGGCTTGGTGACATGGTTGATGGTTTGTCAGTGTACCCTGACAACATGGATCATTGCATATAATATCCTGGATTGTCTGGTCTATTATTTTATAGGCTCAGTGGCATGGATTGGTGTTCTTGATATCAATCACCAGATTATCTGGTCCGGACTCAAATATTTACAGGCCGCCATAATATGGCTGGAATATTGCTGAGCATGAAGAAACTACCCAACCAACCAGAAATGCATGCACACGCACACACAAAACAAACTCTGAGAGTATGAAGACCATGTTTATTATCATATAGCCTACAGTTAACATTAGGAAACTAAGACAAAGAGTTAGAAGACATCACAGGTGAAGAAACAGTCAATACAAGTAACAAGTAACTAACAATGGTAGACAGGCAGTTCTCCCAGTCCTAGAGCAGTCAATACACTTTACCCGTCATAGGCATGTGGTTTTAAATGAAGGATTCCTAAGGGTTTTTATTGGACAGTATATTAAAGTCAGGATAAGGTGTAAAAAAGTAAGGTTCCATGAGTTTTTTTTAGATAGTATATTAATGTAACAATCATAGGGTAGTAGAACCCAGTGTTAGAAAGCAAGGTTCGATGACGTTTTCTTCTTAATCTGAAAGAGTGTCAACAAATAGATGTGTTTTTCAGTGAACTAAGTAACATTAACAAGCAATATTATTGTCGTTAGGAGCAGGTATAAATAACTGTTTCCCTATACAGTACACTATTGAAGAGTGAGTGAGTGAATATTGCTTAATGCTGCATCAGCAATTTTGCAGCTATTCGCAGCGAACACTATTGAAGAAAAAAGTACTTTTGATACAAGCAACTTTTTACTTTTACAGATAAACCCACCCTACAGATTGCAAAACAAAAACAAACTATGCTTATTTATAACTCGCTTGTTTTAATTTTTGTTTCAACATTTATTTCAGATTTTTCGTTGACATTTTTTTATTTGAAAATAACAAAATATTGGTCTGGCTTTGAATGATTTTCAAATTCTTGATATAGGAAACAGTAAATTGATTTTCTAAATTTAGACATTCTTAAAATAATAATTTCACTGGTATAGTTCATTATCACCTAATATGAGGATGTTTCTAATGAGGGCATTGCTCCTTATGTCAATGCTGAATACCTAGTAACAATAC